CCGCTTCAGATCCTCCACGCGCTGGCGCAGACGCCGCATCTCCGCGGCGTCCTCCCACCTGCGCCGATCCTCCATTCGAACGCGACGGCCCGGCGTCACTTGTTGACACGGTAGGGCATGCTCGCCATATCGTCGATCGTATTCTAAACCACGCTGATCCCCGCGCCCCGCCCACGGGCCGCGGCGCTCGACGCCGTGCCAATCTGATCCCCTCACAGCGGCGCTACTTGGTGCGCTGGTTGGGCCCCATGCCGGATAGCTGGGAGCCTCGTGACGTCCTCCTCGCTGATGTTCCGGACTGCGTGGCGGCGTACGAGGCGGACCTCGCACCGGTGACGGATCGCGCTGAGGACGCGCCCGTCCGGCGCGCCTAGCCTCGTCCAAGGCTCGCTGATAACGTCCGATCACGTCCCTCTCCACTTCAGTCACAGGCACCGCCTCCACTCTTCACGATCCGGTCGCGCGACACCAAGCTCGCGACAGTGCGGACACCCATCGTCGTCGCTTCTTCGCCAGCTTCTGCCATCTCGGCTCCAAACGCCAAGTGTGGCGTGATCTCCATCTGAAGCGGGGGATGGTGTGACGGGCCGTTGTCACACAACAGCTACCGTGTCCACCACGGTAGTCAATCAACACGTAGAACAGAGTAAATGGCTAGCGCGGTCTCTCGTGTCGAGACCGTGTCGCTAACTATCAATCTCAGAGTCATATTTGCCTGCTTCCTCGATCCTTCCAGTGTACGCTACAGTAACGGTACTTCAGTCCCGTTACAGCAACTGGCTTGGCGATTGGTGAATCACCTGTTACTGGCATGAAGGCAACCGGATTACCGCCACATCTAGCGGTTGCTAAGAAAATAAGTGAGCTACAAGAGCAACTATCTGAAGTCTGCGCAGAAATGGAAAAACTAAAACCAACTATGACAAATTCACTCCCAAACGAAGTAGCGGCGAAGGTAGTAAATGAAATGCGACAGCATTTTGTGGTTAACGGTGTGGCTCCGGTATATTTGCGCGATATTGACATGAGGATTGACAGGCTGCGAGCCGACCTTGCGTCAGAGTTTCGTCACACTTTTAGTGAAGTCCAGCATAATAACGAAATCACTGTTCCCTCAACTACTAACACGGTGGAGGTTCCTGTGTGGAGATCGTGGAATTGGAGCAATGGCCAAATCGGTCATTCTGTTCCGATTGTATTTGAATTTCCCGCTAGGGCTAGTGTAAAGCTTATGTTCAATTTGTGGTATTTCGGCACAAAGACACTGGAATTCGCCCATATAGACTGCTCAGTAAGAAGCACAATATCAAGCCGCAACATCATATGCGGCACTCGCGTGTTCGAGTAGTCATGGAACTCATTCAGAAGGTTGCTGAGGAGTCCTCCATGTTTCCAGCAGGGGTCACGAAAATCTATGATCTTGACCTTCAAACAGCAGATAAGGCTTCTGTACCATCTTCGAGACGATGCTTGCAAAGTTGTACAGCGATACTCCTAACCGAGCCGAAGAGCTCTCATGCGGCACGATATATAATCAAGTATCGAAAGAAGAAGGATAATCAGTAACTTTGAATCAGATTTGTTTTGCTGAGTTGACCAATCAAGCCACGATTTCGACCTGTGATCTGCTTCTTATCACAAACACAGGCATTATTTACGTTTCTAACATGTCAAGAACGGTTTGTTTTAACAGACATTATTATTAAACATTCAAAATCGTTTTTTACAGCATGGTTTAGTAACGTTTTTCTTACATAGTGTACAAGTTTTCTAATCGACTCACTCCTGGTGAAGGTGGCGACGGAAGACCCGGCTCGTACAGAAAGGCTCGAACATGTGCAGCAGCATCGCCCGCCTGCTCCTGCTGGGTGTGGCGTTCCATGCGCTATGCATCCTCAGCGTTTTCGACATCTACTTCCAGTCGACTGTCGAGTCCTCCATTTACAGCGCCAACTACACCTCGTCGCCTCCAGCCAAGCGCGTCATCATCTTCACATTCGACGGCTGTCGCGTCGACAAACTCTTCAAAGTCGTTGCCGGCAACGTAAACCACTACGACCTCAACCCGAACGGCTCTACAAACACCACCAACTTCAGCTCCGACAGTCGTGTGCCTTTCCTAGGCGTTGTAATGCGAAATCGCGGCAGTTGGGGCGTCTCACACAACCACGCACCTACCGAAAGTCGGGCATGTCACGTGGCGCTAACTGCCGGAATGTATGAGGACCCACACGCCGTCTCTAATAGCTGGAAGCGGCACCCAGTGCCCTTCGACTCCGTCTTCAATCAGAGCAATAATGCCTTCATCTTTGGTAATAAAGACGTCGCCCCGATCCTCGCAGCTCATGCACCACAAGCTGTGGAAAAGCACTATTCTGCGAGAGAGGAAGGCAACATGGTACGCGAAGATACAACGCTGCTGGATCTGTGGGCATATCGCAGAGTGAAAGAATTATTTACAAAAGGAGCTGAAGCCAGGGATCCGGAATTGTACAGGAAGTTGCATGACGAGAAATTGGTGATCTATTGTCATTTTCTAGGCACTGATTTGACAGGACCGAAATATGGTGCCGATTCGAAAAAGTACTTGGAGAATATTGCTGTGGTGGATGATTTGATCGAGAAGACGTACAAGATGATCGAGGAGTATTATGGAAACGATGGACGAACAGCGTACGTCGTCAACGCGGACCATGGAATGGATCTTCGTGGCGACCACGGTGACGACGCTCCGGCCAAAACGAGGACGGCAATTATTGCGTGGGGTGCCGGTGTCCTGGGACCTGAGACAGCGAAAAAGACTGACAAGCAAGATTTTGATATTGAGTTGCCCACTCGATCTAGAGTTGAATTGCAGACACGCCTGGGGGCACAGGCAAACGAGGAGGAGGTTGCTACCCGTGAGTGGAGTGCAGTGCTTGACTTCAAGCGCAAAGATGTTATGCAGACAGATGTGGCGGCACTTATCAGTGCTTTGGCAGGACTGCCATATCCCCGCAATTCGGTTGGAGTTCTGCCGTTTACGTACTTGCCCAAGGACAAATATCGCGTAAATGCTATGCGTGCAAATGCACAGCAACTATACCACCATGCCTTACGCAAGGAGGAAGTGAAGCGCGCTCACCGGGGGATGTTATTTGTTCCATACTCACCTCTCCACCATCGGGTACCAGACCTTGAGGCTCATATTGACGAGGCCATCAATAGCCTACCTGAAGGTAAAAGCCACGCAATTCACGACGATGCGCACCGTGTCGTGGAACTGTTGAGTCAGGAGATGATTGATATTTGTCGGAACGCGATCGATTATTACCATACGTACGACTGGTTGTTCTTGCGAGGATCGATCGTGCTGGGGTACATTGGTTGGGCACTAATCATGACGGTAGCTTATCTGCACCCTCAAAAATTCCGCTTACGGTGTCTGTTGACTCCTATGATTGACGTCAAGTTTGCTGCTACTGTAGCTGCAGTGATGTGGTGGCGGTTTCTCGCAGATTCGCCGTCGACGTATTATCTTTACGGATTCTGCCCTCTTGTCTTTTGGAAATTCGTTTGGAGGCATCGTAATGACCTGCAAGCAGAACTCCCTTCTGTAAAGAGTTTCGGTTGGAAATGGAGTGTTCCAGCTGCGTTGGTTGTCTGTTGCCTGGAGCTGGTTGTCGTTGGTTACAAGCATCGTGCCGCATTTAGCTTGCTATTTGTCCTGTTGGCATTGCAACTAAACGGAGACCTACAACAATCGAGAGGAAGCGTGCAACTGAAAGACCGTCTACACTATCGAAAATTGATGACACCACGTTTTTGTTGGTCTGCAAGCTGTCTTTTTATCGCCGTGTTCCCATGTCTGCCGACTGAGTATGGCGAAAACACATCGTTGGTCCATTTTGGAGCGTTGCTGTTATTGCTTTGTACTTTTATTGTGGTTAGCAATATATCTCCTATTCACGATCAAAGATCCCAGTGGAAGTCGATGCTTTCTTCTGGGGAACCTCCAGTGCTATTGGCAATGCTGACTCTGCAATGGACCTCAGCCTACCTGGACAGTAAAGCTGCACCTCCGCTTTTTATGGTGGCTTTAAACTGGATGCTTGTCATCGTACCAGTGACATGGTTACTCGTTCAAACAAAGTACCAAAGCCCAGGGGCTGAGCTATCCTCGCTGAATTTTGAGAGTGAAGGCTATCTGGAGCGACAGCACACTGGTGAAGTCGCACACGTTGTGGTTGTGCGACTGATGAAAGTCATATTAGCGCTTGCGCCAGGCTTCATATTGCTTAGCACATCCTATGAAGTGTTATTTTACGTGGCACTATGCAGCGGGCTTGTCAGCTGGATTGTGGTGGAAGCAAAACAGATATCTACTCGAGGGGTTTCTATGAGTCGTGAAGTGCGGCGAGCGCTGCTGCTGTTACTATTTGTCCAAGTTTCGTTTTTTGGTACTACCAACGTGGCGAGCCTTACAAGCTTTCAGATTCCATCGACTCGACGGTTCCTAACAAAATCCACTCCCTCCATTGCGCAAGCGCTAGTCGTACTGAAGCTCCTGATACCGTTCGTACTTGTCGCCTGTGCTTTCCGTCTGATCTTACTGCTACCTTCGACAGTATCGACACAAGAAAAAGAGCTGCGCGGGAATTCTCTTTGGGTGTCGTCATATTTCCTTCTCGCAGTGGCTTTGGCGGACGTCCTCACCGTGCAGTTCCTGTTTCTTGTAAATAATGAAGGCAGCTGGAAGCAGATGGGGAATTCTATCGCCGAGTTTTGCATCGTCAATAGCCAGATTGTCCTGTTGCCGACAATCAATTTTCTCGCTTGGGTTTTTGTTCACGACCTAGAAGCTACTGGCAGAGGATATGAGCTAGTAGAAATAAATGAAGACGAGAAGGATCACTAGAAACTTCATGTAATCAACATTTTTTTTATTTTGTTGTCATGATACTGCAGTCGCGAAGCCCCTTCATTTGCACGTAACAAGCTGCGACCAGGACAACTCGGATGCGCGGAGGGAGGCAACCAGCTCGACGTTTTCAAGTGCCAGTGAATATTCGCGTGCAACACGAGCTTTGGCATTGGCATGAACCACTTTGCAGTTTAGCCCGTTCCCCCGAAGATGATACAGATGCACACGAGCACGCCCAAGTTTTAGCACTAGTAGGTTCCACGGATCGCTCAAGAACACCAGATTCATAAGCATCCGCTGGGCTGTCGATGCCGAACTCGTACCAATTTCATCATTGGCTACATTGTTGTCAGTATTGTCCTGGCTTGTGCCTTGCTTTTTGTCGAGGTTACGTTGACTTATCCATGGAGTAACATTCAACATCGTGAGCAGAGGCCCCAGCAGATCATCATCCCAACTCACTGAAAGGCAACTGGGTTCCCACAAAGCACCCGCGGCACTTGGAACGGCTGAGCGAGCAAAGAACAACGGATCAGGGACTGCATCACCTTTCTCCTGGGGTTTTACCTGACTGAAGTTCGTCGGTTTGACCCAACGACGTCGATGCCAGCGCATTAGTGCACGCACTGCTAAAATGACAACCACATAAATAATGGCAGCAAGAGCGACGGCCAGCATATCACTGTACACTCCTTCAAGGTTCATTTTCCACGCATCCAACGTCTCGGAGCGCAGCAGCATGAAGGTAGGAACGGGTTCCACCTCATTAGCCTCCAAGATCCGGGCATCACGGTCGTCGACGGCGATTCCTCCTTGAGCTACAAATGCAACGGCACCAAGAGCCAGTGTCGGAAGAAGATGGCCACGGACGCCAGAGACTCCGTGGGACGGAGTCCATGCCCCCGCCGAGGTCTGCAACAACGCTCGAAAACGGGCAAGTAACGCCATGAGCCAAACGCAGCGCATATGCACAGCTAGCCAACGCGTCAATGCTGCGAAGCTGTCCGTTGTGCTCTCACCGCCGTCATCTTCCAGTTCGTACAGTATCAGCGCGTCGATAATGTGTGCACTTGCGTAGCAAAGCACGGGTAACCAACTGCCATACACCACGACCTGACTCGGAACAGCGAAGAAGACTCGAAGAGTACGTTTCAATCTTGACGTATCGGCGCTTGCAGCTGTGTCGAAGACTGAGCCAACGGCGTAGCAAGCGACGAATAGACACACGACTCTCACGATGACGTACAACTGGCCAATATAGCGCAGAGTGGATGCCAGAGAGCTCCACTCCAGAGCATCAGTGTAGAGAATCTTGCCCTCGACACGCTCGTCAAATATGGTCGTCGTAGTGCAGACGTCGGGGTTGGTACAGTCTCGAATGCGATACAGCACCACAACGTTGTAAATCTTGTGTGCAAGCAGTACAGCCCCTCCCAGTCTTGTAAGCGGGTCCGATTCAGCTTCAATCAAAGTAATATCAAGTTTCTCGTTCTTGGACAGATTCTGCTGTAGTGCGGCAGTTCGCAATGACACAGTCTCCCATAGTGCGTCTCTCTCACTGCCATCAACAGTCAAGGACGCCGCCCATGGTTTCTCACAGAAGAGCGGTCGATCCAAGTCGTCCACACACAAATCCACTCCCGGATTGGCAGGGTCAAGATCGGCAAAAGTTGTGACCCAAACGCTGAGCCAATATTTATGATCCAGCAAGTTGCGTGACAAGAAACTCGTGCTGCTACTTGCCGCAGTGGAGCCGGAACTTGCACTACTTGTACCCGTCCAGCGAGCTTTGGCTCGAGCTGCGAAGCAGACACGTTGTGGGAGCGAACTGAGTTCTCCTCGAGCCATGATCGCAATACCGTCGTCGGTCTGGGCCACATTCTTGTAGCTGGTAGTGCTTGGAGCATTGGCTGCCAGGGCTTCAGCCAGAGTATCGAGCATACTAAACACCGTAGTCCCAGGTAGAGAATCTCCACAATCACTGCTGTATGCCGAGTCGGTGGAGTGAGCACTTAAAATGCATGCAGGCCATGATGAATTTAGTTTTGGAGACGTTTCCAGTAGGTCTCGAGCCGTGCGTAGACCGTAAGAGCTTGGAGTGAACTTATAGAGCGCCGTGGGGATCTCGGAAGAGATCAAAGACTCCCCGTCAGTAATGATCGAGCCGTTCCGGAAGATCGTGTGGCCTGGAAGTGCCGTGGGGCCATAGACAGTAAAGACATTCGGCTCAATCTGGACGAACGGAAGACTATCGACACTTGAACCTGCACGCGGGACGTCGGAAACGAGCAGTGCGTAGGCGAAGAGAGCGAAGAGGACGCGCAGAGCCGCGGATCGAGGCAGTCTGTCGACAAAAGCAGCCGTCTCACGCGTATTTTCCGGATGCATCACATTCAGCAGCACCGCTGAGCGTTTGCGTTGCCAGTTAGCATCGGCGGTAACAGCGGACGAAGACGGCGCCCTCGCAGGACCTCCAGGTGCGGCTGCTTTCCCTCCGTTTGCCTCGACTTCGTGTGATTCGCCCTGCACACGCTTGTTTGACTCGCGATGACTCTCGTCACCTGTGCTGGCCATGGTGAACACGAGCTAAAAGGTGTCAAGTCCCCAATGGGGACTCCCCAACGGTTCGACCCGCCTGCCAGCGGTTTCGCCAGAACGCCCGTTCAGATAGGGAAGTCTCTGCTAGCAGAGTATAATAGCCATCGTCTCCATGAGTCCAAAACTTGTCACCAAGGTATACCCATCGATGAAAATCCATCAAGGCGTGTGACTTTACAGGAGCGGAGCCATGTGGAATAATGGGGTCGTGGGTTCAGCTAGGATTACGACACTTGATTGGAGGAATTGTTTGTGGGGTATCTCAGACTGTAATTTCACTTGACATTCCCCGACTTGCCAGCTCGACTCGACCCGACTCCTTCTCTTGAGTCGTCGCCATGAGCATTGACTGGTCTCTCGAGTGCTGCAATGACAAGCAGTTCCTGTCCATCTTCCTCATCATCTGTTACGCCGTCGCCATCTTCAAACTGTATGAGGCGGAGACTTCTCATGCGAGTGCTGAATGGTCTACTAACTGCTTCACTCTCCTCTCTTTTCTGCAGATGGCGCGTATCGATTCTTCACCCATTCAAAATTCTGTACGTCATCCTTTGCAATGCTGTCGCCGAATGGAAGAGAAATTGCACTAACGGGGTCTTGCGACGTGCTGTGGCTGATGCAGAACGGTATTCCTGCACGAACTGGGGCACGCCACAGCTGCATGGCTCACCTGCGGCAGCGTACGACGCACTCCTTCATTATCACAAGTGCGACGCACTAGCTAATGATGCAATTGTTGCATGTCGACTCAGGTTAAGGGGATGGAGGTGCACCCTGACGAAGGTGGCGTGACCAAGACCGTCGGTGGACTCCAGTGGGTCATCCTTCCTGCTGTACGTTCCCGTTTCGAGCTCTGTAATACAGTGACGATGATATTGATACGGTTGTGTTCATGACTGCAGGGATACTTGGGATCAGCTGTGTGGGGCATGGCGTTGACGATTGCGAGTGCCGATAAAACGGCGTCAGAGGTGGCAGCAGGCATCCTCATTTTCTTCCTACTGGTCTTCATCTTCTACGCGCACAACGGCTACCTCCGCATCCTGAACTTCTGCTTCATCTTGCTGCTTGCGGGCCTATTGGCGCTGAACATTTGGACGACGTTCGACGCTCTCCAGTACGTGACGCTCTTCGTCGGTGTCATGAGCTGCCTCTTCTCGGTTTATGATATCTGGGATGACCTCATTTCCCGCCGCGTAAACGAGAGTGACGCATCGTTCTTCGCCAAGATGACGCACACTTCGAGTCGCTGCTGGGGAGTGATCTGGGGTCTTATCGCACTTGTCTCGCTCGTCGCGGCCGTGTATTTCAACCTGCTCGTTGCAGAGGACTCTGGTGAATCGCTCACCAACATCTCAGATGCCTCAGCAGGCACGAAGGTTGCACTGGCCTGTGCTGTCGTCATTGTGGCTCTCGCTGTAGTGCACACAGGGTTCACACGGAGGTGCATGCTGCGGAAACGCGACGGATTCGGAAGCTACTTCGCCGCATAACCTTAGATATGATGCTGACAATCACTACGGCAGTGTAGTCGCCCAACTGATAATTCTCCGGAAGAGTTTCATTCCTGTATCGTTATCACCCGAGAAGCCACAATTCCACCTATACACCTACCTACCAAAACGCTACGGACTAAACAAAAAGCCCGCATCTTATAGTTCTAAGGACATTCCATTGTCCGCGAAAGGCTTACGATCTTTTATTTCGCTTTGCGACTTGACTCTGGGAACCAACCACCTTATGAAAGAATACCGTTTGTCATGCGCTGGAAATTGTCATATTGACGCGTGCTGTAGTTGCTGTTGCTCTTGCGGATGAGCGACAGTACGTGCGCCACAGTCTCTTGCTTGGATAGGGTCAGCTTGAAGCGGGAGCGTAGGCGCAATAAAATATAATCAGCGTCGATGCCCAGGAAACACGGGTATGGTGACTGACGTGACATGACGTCCACAAGGTCACAGATCTCGTCACAGTGCTGTTGGCACGCAAGGAATCCTCGTGTGCACAAGGTAACATACTCCTTGAAGCCCTCGGAGTCCTGGCCACCCATGGTCTCCACCATCTCGGCCGTCAGCTTGAATGGGGCTGTCTCGATGCTCAGCATTCCACCAGGCGCGATACCAAGTAAGAAACCATAGTCGATATGGATAATGTGGCCTTCGTTGTCCAGCATGATGTTGCCGTTATGCCGATCCTTGATCTGCAGGAAGTAACACACGAGCGAGTATCCAGCCATAGACTGAATAAACTTCCGCTGCGCTGCCTTGAATCGGCGCGAGTCAGGTGGTCCATAGGATTTCTCGAAGTGATGCAGCAGCGAAACGTAACCTTCACGTTTCTTCAGCCCATCCAGCGAAATTGCGTTGATCAGAGTCTCAATCAGTCCAGTTGACGAACTCGTAGCGATGATGCGGTATCTCTTCACCCACATGGGCAGATTCGCTCCCCTGAATATTTCAACGAACTTCTGAATCAACTGCAGCGTAAATACCTCCTGACGAAGATCATCGTTACTCTTGCCAATCATGGACACGATGTCCCATCCGGGTAAGTGGCCGTACGGCGATGCAGCCATCAGCCTCGCTCGCTTTGAGCTCCAGGACTCTCCGAAAGCTGCTTCAAAATCCCTGCGGCGAGCCTTCTCGCGCTCAATTGCTTCTGCGGTCAAGTTGCCCGATGCCAAGTCCATCTCCAGCGGTGTCGAAGGTTGTCCCTCTACTATCACTCCGTCCACAGTCGTGTTATTTGCCGCTTTTTCGATAGGCTGCATGAGCACCGGTGGAGCCGTTGACGGCGTTGACACAATGTCAGGGACGTCAATGGGGGTCTCAGGAACAGGGGCACGACGAGGCACGGCGACAGGAGTTTGGTACGGTTCAGGAGCAGGGGGAGGGATAATTGTTTCCGCTTGGACTTCCTCCGCGTCTTGAGCATCACCAGCAAAAGCTTCACTAGCCTGGTGCCCAATCAACTGACCAATTTCATCATCCTCGATGTAGTTGACTTCCGAAGATTCAAGCGCACCGCTACCAGTTAGGTTCTGTCGTGATGGCGACCGTGGTGATTGCGGGAGTGAGGCATCGCACTGTTGTTCATCGTCAAAAGGGTTGCCGCGAATCACCTCAAAAATCAGCAAAATAGGGACACGAGCTTTTGTCGAGAACGCGGTTCCTTCCTTCGTGGGTATCCGCACGATACGCTCAAAAGGGTCCGTGGCTTTCACCAGCGGCACATACGCCATAGGTGGCAGATGCAGTTTCTCTAAATACGACGGCAACTGGGCCTTCCGGTCCTGAATAGACGGCACAAAACGCAGCGCCTCAGCGATATCCGTGATCTGCTCCACGAAGTCACATTCGTCAGCAAAATGCTTTGCCAGCAGGGACTTGTCTGTCTGGCTCAGGCGTCGCATAGACTCACTGAAAATACTGGTTGGTTGGTTATCAGTATCCTCCTCTTCAAGAATGGACAACCGCTCGTCTTGCTCGTAGTCGTCACCTGTAGGGTGCGTCAGCAACATGGAGTCAAGGTCTTCCTTTGGCGTGAGCAAATGCTGTTGAAAGCGCGAAAAGTCACGAAATCGGCTGTCCACGTCTCCATCTAGCGAGCCATTACGGTCCGATCCGTTCCTCGCCATAGGCGGTGAGATGGGTGAGTAAGAATCCATGCCTGCCGGCGAGCCACTTGCACCAGAGATACTGTGCGCTTGTCGACGGTGGATTGCAATCTCCTCTGTCAGCTTTACGATAACTTGCAACTGGTCATCTGTTGGCATCGGCAGATTACGCTTGTGCACCTGCGACGCTTCGTGCTGGGGATCACGGCTGAGCACAGTGGCACGGTCTACACCTGCAACTTCACGCTCAATCTCCACCATCAACCGTACCACACGCGCGTATTTGTCCTGCATCTCCTTGGGTTTTCTTGGATCAAACGAGTCTTCGAGTGCGCCTTGAAGTTGCCATCGAAGAAGAAGCGCGAGGTGAATGGAGCGCGAACATACCGACAAAATGAGCTCATCCAGCCAGAAAATCTTCTCGAAGTCAAAATTCGGAATCGATAGATATGCATGAACGATCTGAGGCCAGTAGAACTCCACTTGGTTGATGCGCGTATACGAAAAGTGAAGCAGTTTCTCCACAATCGGTTTGAACAACAAAGGGTCACTATCGAGGTGACGATGCAGTAAAATCACAGCTCGGTACACGCTAAAGCTACGTGCACGGAACTCGCGATGCAGACCCAAGATCTTCAGGTCTAGCGGGATTTCTGGATGGTCCATTGTGTGATCATAAAAGCGTCGATCCTTCAGCAAGATCTCCTCGCATTCTTCTGCGGTAATCACCTTTGCCTTCAGCAGGTCGATAGCAATCTTCGCTGACTCAGTCTGTAGTGGTCGCTTGGGCATAATCAGCTCAATCGGAGCCTCGGGATTCAATGGCTTTGGGTACAAGCAGATCCCCGCCTTTAGTCGCTCCACCATCGCCCGTAAGTAGTTGATGTAATTCTGCGCCTCATAACAACGGTCACACACGCGCTTGGCGTAGTAGTGCGATCTCTGCGGGAGCGGGACCTTGTGCGTCGTAAACTTATCACAATACAGACCGTCACAACTGTTGCATTTGTATAGCAATGTCGCCGCAGCTGGCGATGGTTGTCCAGCCGCCGCAGCTTCTGCTGACAACCGAGTGCAATCGGGACACTTGCACGTTACATCCGTCTCAGTAGACGGCACCGTCACAGTGCTCACTGGAGAGAGAGACACATCCAGCGATGCGTGCTGGAAGAACGCTGCTGCTAGACGCGGTACTGTAGTCTCCACTGCTGTCTGGATCGCTCGGATCCACTTCTCCTTATCCATGGCTGTGTCGGCGTAGGCGTAGAAGACTTTGTTCTGCGCGGTGGCAAACAGGAAGCCGTGCTGATAGATGTGCATGTTGCCTTTGCCATCCCATTCCTGCACTCCAAGTACGTCCACCTCACCCTTAAGTCGCAGCATATGATACGCATCCTCCTGTGTGCTGCTCGTACATTGAATAACACACAGGTTTAGCCTGTCATATCTATTTAATAGACTGGATACAATTCATCTTACCTGTAATAGTGGAAAGATGTGCCCACGAGAAAACAGTAGCGTCGCAGCATCGGTGGCGGTGATGCTGGACTTGTGCGGAAGGTGAGATAGCCCTCGCAGCTGGCGCGCGGGGCCTTCATGGCGCTCCAGGAGATCTGACGCGGTCTGTTGCGACGACGAAGTCTCGTTGTGGTGATTGGTTTCTGCGGACGCTCGCAATGGGGAGCGCAAACCCAATCTACGCGTTGCCTGGCGCGGACTGGGGTGTGATGAGAGGCAGGCGATTACTCGTCTCCGACGGGGCCGATACGCGCGGACAGTAGCTCGTCGGACAGAGGGGATGACGGGAGACACGACGAGGCTGGAGTGTCCGGACGCGCGTCGCTGAGAAGGGAGCTGCAGCGAGAGAGAGGAGCGGCCCGGAGCGCGAGCCTTCTCTCTTCAAAGTGGGCGTTGCTGTGTTGTGTGTGGAGGCTCCCCCTATGTATGGCGAACCCGCGGGCCGGCTGATTGATGGCCCCGTGGGTCTCTATGTCCCACGGGTTCTAAAAGACTGGTACAGAAGTGATACACATATTTTTGCTGGTTGCGAGCGCGTCAGTGTCAATAGCGATGGCTCGCGGGAAGAAGACGGCAGCGCCGCTCAAGGCGTCCACGCCCAATGCCAATGGCGGCAACAAGGGCAACAAGAAGACGGCGGGTATTGCAGCGAAGAAGCAGAACAAACAGCAGGTGCAGACGCCTGTCAAGAGCAACAAACAACCCGTGAAGGTCGTGAAGCAGCCTGTAAAGGAAGAGGGCGAAAATGAGGAGGAGGTCGACGATGAGGCTAGCGAGACGGAGGACAGCGATGAGGCTAGCGATAGTGACGAAGATGATGGCGAGGGCAGCGACGAGTTTGAAGATCAGGGGTCATCCTCCGACGATGACAGTGGTGACGAGGAGAGCGACGACGACGCTGAGCTCACTGAGCTTGAGAAGAAGACGCGTCGCTTCACGGTGGATCGCGAGAAAGAGATGCAAAAGATGCGCGAGGATGGATCGCTTTCAGTGGCGTCGCAGCTACACGTGGACGATCTGTCGTCTGACGATGAAGAGAATGTCAACACCATTGGTAACGTACCGCTCCGGTGGTACGAGGACTACGACCACATCGGTTACAATGTGGACGGCAAGAAGATCATGAAATCGAACAATGGTGACGGCATTGACGACGCTATCGCTGCTAAGGATGACCCATACTATGAGTACGTCGACGTAGATGGTCACTATTAGGTTGAAGGAGGCTGACATTGTATTGCACTTTGTTGTTTGACAGCCGCACGGTGTACGACGCGTACAATGACCGCAAAATTGTCATTTCGGACCGCGACATGGAGATTATTCGTCGTATGCAGGCTGGTGCTTTCGCACACCCGGAGTTCGAGGCCTACCCGGACTACGTTGACATTTACTCCTCGAACACAATCATCCACGCTATGGGTAACGACCTTGAGCCCAAGAGCCGATTCCTTCCTTCGAAATGGGAGCGCATGAAGGTTATGAAGATTATGAAGGGTATTAAGGAAGGTCGCATCAAACTAGACCAGGAACCCGAAAAGAAGCCCGAAGTCTACCAGATGTGGTTTGACGACGACCAGGCGCAGACTCGCAAGGGTCCGGCCCACGTGCAGGCTCCGAAGATGCCGCTTCCTGGACACATTGAGTCCTACAACCCTCCGGATGAGTACTTGTTTACCAAGGAGGAGCGTCGCGCTTGGGAAGAAGCCGAACCGGAGGACCGTGACACGAACTTCATCCCAAAGAAGTTCAAGTCGCTGCGTGAGGTGTGCGGCTACGGCGGCTTCGTGCGTGAGCGTTTTGAGCGCTGCCTGGATCTGTACTTGGCGCCTCGCGTTAACAAGCGCAAGCTTAACATTGACCCGGAGTCGCTCGTGCCGGAGCTACCGAAGCCTCAGGATCTGCGTCCGTTTCCCAACACATTGGAGCTTGTGTTCAAGGGCCACACTGGCCGTATTCGTTCGCTGGCTGTAGACCCGTACGGCCAGTACGTGGCCTCAGGTTCGGACGACTTCACTGTTCGTATTTGGGAGCTTGAGACTGCGCGTTGCCTGCATGTGTACAACGTTGGTGCTGTGGTGCACAAGCTGTCATGGAACCCGAACAAGGACCACCAGTTGCTGGCTGTGGCTGCTGCCAAGAAGGTCTTTATCATTGCTACCGGAACAGGTAGCGCAGACCAGACGGAACTCACCAATGCGCTTGTGGGTGATGCCAGTGACAGCATTCAGACTTCCAATGATGATGATGGCAAGACAGATAGCGCCAGTGGGGACGTCCAGGTCGTGGATGAGGATGAAGCCACTGTGGAGGCTGACGCGCTCAAGAAGAAGGTGCCGGTAACCTGGCGGTTCTACAGCGGCACCAAGGACAAGCACAAGTCAAAGAAGGCGGATCGGCCGTGGCTGGAGCGTCGTGTGGGCACTGGTATTCGTGTTGTGCTGCACCACACGAGCGACGTGAAGGACGTGGCATGGCACTACAAGGGTGACTACCTTTCGACGGTTGCTCCTGGCGCTGGTGCCGGAGCAGTGCTGATTCACCAGCTCTCGAAGAGGAAGACTCAGAACCCGTTCCAGAAGAGCGTGGGTCAGGTGCAGTGCGTGTTGTTCCACCCGTCCAAGCCATTCTTCTTCCACGCTACCCAGCGCCACGTGCGTGTGTACAACTTAGTGAAGCAGTCGATCGTCAAGAAGCTGTCTTCAGGTGTCAAGTGGATCTCGAGCATGGCGGTGCATCCGAACGGTGACCACTTGCTAGTAGGAAGTTACGACCGGCGGTTGTGCTGGTTTGATCTGGATCTGTCTTCGAGGCCATTCAAGACACTCAAGTACCATGAGAAGGCTGTGCGCGACGTGTCGTTCCACGCCAAGTACCCGCTCATGGCTTCAGCCTCGGACGACGGCACCATTCACATTTTCCACGCCATGGTCTACTCGTACGTATCGATGGCATTTTTTACTGACACGAAACGATTGAGTTCACTAACTGTGATGAACGTGTGACCTTTGCAGGGACCTGATGAAGAACCCGCTGATCGTGCCGCTCAAGATCCTGCGCGGCCATGAGGTCTCTGGTGGTCTCGGTGTCATGGCGCTAGCCTTCCACCCTGTCCTGGTACGTGTTTCATTTCATGTAGAGAATAATGCATCGTCCGTTCTAACTCCTGCTTTCAATTTTTCGTGTTTGCTTCGTAGCCATGGGTGGTTACAGGCGGTGCCGACGGCTCCATTCGCCTCTTCCAGAACATTCACTAACTCGCTCATTGTAGCGGGCTCGACGATCCGAGCAACCATCCGAGTGGTCGGCAAGGCAACGCTCCGTTTGTTGGAAACTTCAGTGCCTGTCGAAGCCAGCAACTCGTAACTGTGACGATTCAATAATAGACAACGTGCATACGGATATCGGATCACACCGTTTCTGGCGGCTCCTTTAAAAGATACACATTCGTGGAAAATATAATTGCGGCGACCATGGCGAACAGCAAATTGCTCGGCACATGATGACGGCATGGTAACGTGAAGCCTCGCCTTTCCGCGACCAACAAAAGCCAGTGCATTTTACCCATTTTGAGCCACGACACAACGCTAAACTCGCCAATTAATCCTAGCCAAGATGGCTGTGCGTACGTGTATCTGATGAGTACATGTAGTGACTATCACACCATACATGTACCTGTTGAATGGAGAGCACACCCGCATAAATGGACATGACAAGTCCTTAATTTATTTAGCAATGAAAAAAGAAAAGAGGAAGGTTAGGCTACAGCTAGAAAAGTCGGGAAGCTGTCGCTACTCGGTCCAAGCGGACGGATCCAGGTCTCCCCCGCCCTGCACATAACAGAATACACCTCGAGGCTTTACTCGCAAAAAAGACCACAATACTTGAACCACCGCCCGCCCGCTTGTCCTTTTCCGATCTCCGCGAGTTCGCAAGCAACTTCCATCGTCCAGTCTTTTTAGTTCTTTTTGCCCATGCCAGGGATACGGAACCGAGATTTCTTGGGTGCTGCTGCAGGCATCGGAGGGGGCATCTGGCCGTATCGCACAGGGTACTGGTACTGACCGCCAAGTGTCGTAGGGGGGTACTGCTGCTGGCCAAATCCACTGTTAGGTTGACCATACTGCTGCTGCTGTCCATACTGCTGCTGGGGCTGCCCGTATTGCTGCTGAGGCTGTCCATACTGCTGCCCGTACTGCTGCTGGGGTTGTCCATATTGTTGCTGAGGCTGTCCGTACTGCTGTGGCTGGTTGTTACCGTATCCGTAGGCGCCAGGCTGCTGCTGCTGCTGCTGGCCATAACCAGAGTGTTGCGGGGGGTACATGCCAGTTGCCATGACGGGAGGGTAGCCGGCGTTGTTCATGGGGTTGGGGCGGTTCTCCTCGTCCGAGTTACGCTGGTTGTGGGTCACGCGCTTGCCATTCATGGCGTAAAGCGAGCCCTCCGTGGGCTCTCCGTCGCCGTCCAGGAGACTAGCTCCATCCACCTTTCCCTTACGATCCAGCACCGTGTCACCCGAGAGCACAGCGCGGTCTGACTTTTTCTTGCGCAGGAAACCAACCATTGTGACTAAGGACTGTTGTTGTGTGAATGTGTGTGGATAGAAGTATGCAGAATAGCAGAGAGGACGCGAAGGTTTCCTCTCGGCTCGGGCTGGACGAGGACGATTCAAGTATGGCGCGCACGTTTGGCCCCAGCCGGAAACTGCGGCTCCCCCTCCCAGCTCTTGCTCGATCCTCGCTGCCGCTCCTATAGCGATTTGTCGCAATTTTTCTGAAACCCAACCACTTGAGTTTTGTAAACCGCGCGAAAAGGCGCCACCTCAGAGGTCGAAAAAGCTCACCTAGCCGCCCAATAGCAACTTGCACCAGTCAAATCCACGTGGACGCACCAGCAAGAATGTTGCTGACAGATGGCGATTGACTGAGCTTAACTATGGCGTCGTACAGTTGTGTGCTTTGGTTCGCCTTCATGCAGATTCCTGACGCTGACTGTCGATATCTGCAGGTGTAAACTCCAGGCTGGATGGAACTGCCACTGCAACATGAACATGGTCGCCAAATAGACCGTTTCAATTCCTTGGAAACCGGTGCCAGTGAACCTCGGTTCACTCGTTTGCAGTCCTCGACGTCTTATTAGGGCAGCAACTACACCACCACCACAACGCAATGCGGCAGAAGCTTTCCACAAAAGCAGACCATCTGCGGCAGCTGGCACTCGCGCCGCAACGCTTTCGTGGCTCGAGTGGATAGCGTAGCCACACTGCACGATGCAACAGCAAAAGATACTCTGTCCATGTTAATAACGTCTGGGTGGAGATTATCATGGAGCGGCGACTTGGCAAAAAAAAAAAAAAAACAGTGATGATTGTTACGGCCTTAACGTGAAAATCTATTGCAAATTTTAAGTTGCAGTGTCAAAGCAGTTGCACCAAGCGTATCCAACGCGCCCTTTTGATGCTGAGACATGTCATACAAAAACCAAGCGTAACTACCACAACTACCAAGCACCACTGCTGATGGCGGCTTCGAAGCTGCACTCTGGAACTGAGACCACACCTGGGCGATGCACTTTGGCTCACATCCTCGTGACACGCTGGACCAGTCTATGAGGTTTTGATCGATCGCATCCTCGCTGTCTGTATTCACCGCAGGTTAAATGCAGTGAACGATAACAGCAGCAACTTCAACCACACACGATCCGCCTCAAAGTGCTGGAACATTCACGGAGAAACCGCTAAGCCAGCCATTTCTCAATTGACCAGCTCACCTGGTTGTCGAGCTTGCCCCGCGCCAGCGCTGCGTGACGCAGTGTGTCGGTCGGTACGTGTAATCAGACAGAGCGCACGCAGCCGCGCACGTGTCTGTCCAACGTTCGCTCTAGCGTTGCATCGAGCAGGTGAAGAAGGCGCCACTTCAAGCAAGGATCACTGAGTTCGAACACCGTGTAAGACTTGCCAGGTTACAGCAGTGGCGCCGCCACAGTTACTGTTGTGCGATCAATGATCGCCAATCATAATGGTGCGAATCTGCTTCGTGCTCGTGGAATCTATCCTGCTACCGGTACATCTACGGACAGAAGGATCACGTCCTTCCAAGTCTGTTGGCACTCCTGTTTCAAGCAGATCTGACCGCAAGAACTGTTGCAGCATAATTTTATTATCACGCTTTTATCTGAGAGAGAGAGAGAGAGAGAGAGAGAGAGAGAGAGTGTGTGTGTGTTGGTACGAGCCTTCTGTGGTGTTAGTGCTTGGTGGTTCGCCGGCTTTCACCACGTAACGTGTTTATCGAGGAAATCCCGCGTCATCTCCTCGTTCTGCGCAATGTTCTCCATGTAGGTATCATAGGACATGTGCCATGGGTCAGGTAAGTCTCGCGCGAAGGCACACAGCACACCGTCCCGTTCCTTGATCTTTGGAAACTTCTCCGTGACCTTGTAAGCCAAGCCGCTGGCCACACACACGACGTAGTCGGCCTCTATGCACATTTGCTCCGTCAGGAGCTGCGAGCGATGCTTGGACAAGTTCAGTTGGTACTTCTTCATCACGTCCACCGCGTGTTTGGAGGCCGGCGAGCCTTCGCGGTCAAACACGTCCGTCAACCTGTTCGATAAACACCAGCAAAAATCAGCACCTCGTTCATAATACAAGCATGTAGCTACACTGCTGTGCTGAGCAAGGTTAGCAGTGCAGGTAGTTGGTTCACTCACGCTGCGGAGCGAATGACAATCCCCTTCTCTTCCTGCTGCTCGCGCGACATGTTGAGTTTGCGACGGAAGTACTCGACGGCGAAGTGCTCAGCGACCGGCGAGCGGCACGTGTTGCTGGTGCACACGAATACTATATTCATTGGAGTCGTCCCTCCTTACTTGTGCGGTGCAGGCGTGATCTCGATTTGAGAGCCACAGCCGCGACTCGCCGCGATTGGTCGGTCGCACAAGTGTATACAAGAGGAAGCTACGGACCGCAGTCTGCTGTGGAGGTGGCAAACGCGACCTGTTCCCACTGACGTCGGCGCGACTTCAATCGTGATGACCGTCGCATGCACCTCGAGCCGATTTGCAAGATAAAACTACCCGGACTGGAGTCCGGTGGCGCCACCGACCGCCAAGCCTTCATGCTGGAAGCTCGCCTATCTAAAATGGATATAGTACATAGTATGTAGTTTGCGCAAAGAAGAACAAGATGAAGTAGTATTCACGCGGTGATGGCTCATACTGTGATGTCATGAGCTTGATCCTTAGCTTACTGGAAGTGCTGGACGACCTTGGCATACGGGAATGGTCCCAAGAATTCACTGTGGTTCTGCTTCTTCGTCGACGCCTCTAACAGCGAGTAGTCGAACTCGGGGTGCAAGTCCTTGTTGGCAGCGTACGACTGCGGATCCCATTGAATGCCGAAGCTGTTGACAAAGAAGCCTTGGAACTGCGCGATCCACTGACGCAGCGCCACGTACGGGATGAAGTAGAAGCCGCATCGATCAGTATCGTTCTCCTTCACCTCCTCTTCAACAGGAGCCAGGGTACGTGCAATATACACTTCCAGCATGGGTGGGAGGCATATCTCTCGCGCGACGTGTTGCTTTTCCGAGTATTCCCACAGACACATGACGGTCATGCGGTCGCCCCAGTCTGTCGTGTTGCGAACGAAATATGTGAAGTCACCGTCCACACGACAGAGTTCCGGGTCTTTGCATTTCAACTGCAGTGGTTGAATGTTGACATCCGCGAATGTCTTCGTCTCCTCCGAGAGGCAGTCCTCTACACCCTCGTTGTATTCCTGGGTTTCATTCCCGTCTTGTTTGGATGAAATGCCTTCATTACCGCACTGATACCAGTTAAACGGGCTGCAAAATCCAAGCACAAACCACAGTTAGCCACGGCAGTAATTGGTTCCAAAAGAACTGTCATACTTGTAGCTGTTGGGGCAGACTGAACGCTCTTCCCAGTCAGAAACCTGCTGCATCCAATACGCGAGCGAATGGCTGCCCTGCGTAGGTCCGTCCGCCCACGAGTTCTTCACTATAAGTCCACCGGTGAAGCCTTCCCGGGTCAAAAACGCATCATTGTAGCCGACAAGAAGCTGCCACAACATAACCAACATGCAAGTATCAGCATGATCCAGAAGTGAGTTGACCAACGACGTACCATGGCATGACCGCCTTCAATTGACATGCTGCGATGACTAAAAAACTCTCCTTCCATGTTGCGATTCCTGCCGCCTTTCAGCGGGATACAGCATGTTGTGGTGGCCATGTCTCCAGGACACAGCGTGCAGGTTTCAGGCTGACAGTGATGATTGCTGGCGAATGCACCAATGCACGGATAGTAGTGCGTGATCATTGCAATCGGAGTAGAGAGGGGCATTGCCTGGTTCTTCCTTACAAGGTGCTCTCTCACAGACATGTCTTCGTACTTGGTTGTCATGCTCTGTGTAGGCAAGACAACACGTAACGTCAAGTTTTCCTCCCGCGTGGTCGAGATTTTAACACGAATTCTGCCAAGCAACGCACCGATAATTCAAACTTCAGCGGGTTTCCGGCTGCTTGAGCAGCTTCGAGCCCAGGACAGAGCGTATCGTTACCAGGGTTCGTGTAGTACTTGCAGACGGATTGCGGGAAGATGGACTCTTTGAGTCCGCTCTGCAGATAGTAAAGCTCAGGAACCTCTCCACCTTCAGTCGAGTTCATCCACATCTACAACGCACCAGGATAATCCTTGAGTATCTTAGCAACGGATACATGCAGAACTAGTAAGTACTGACCTCATCACCGGCAACTCGACAAGCCTTTTGTTGCTCAGAATCTGCGTCGCCGGTGCAGAGCTTGAGAATCTCGACACCGTAGGCCTACAACACAGCAAACAATCCCTTGCTTCAGTTCTACATTGAATCTTACTCGGTTCTTCCTCTGCATGGCACACCTGCTCGGAAAACGCAACGTATTCGTCGGGCTTGAGCCATCCCTTGCGGACTCCATACGCTCGGTATGATTGCTCCAGGAACCCAATGGTAGCAAAGTCCCAGCATGTACCGCGGTAAGCCTGGTCCTGACGCGGAGTGACATAGTCCACCGCAAACTTTGAGGGCAGCAACGCCATCGGCAATAAACCGTTGTTCGAAATGTAGTGCATGGCCCCAGCGTTGAGATCTTCACGAGCTTTAGTTGTCTCTTGGCGAATATCGCTCCCAGTCTCCCTGCCCATTACAGCGCCATTTAATTAAAATTCAATAGATATATCACCTGCACAGCATTCTGCGTTTGCACGTACACACTGTCAACAGTCTGCGATTCCAGACGCGAGATGGTACTGTGCATCGAAATGCACAGCGAAAGCAGCACGAAAAGGGCAACACCATTCAGCGCGTAGAAGACCATTCGCAACGGCAGTCGACCCAGAGTACCACGAACATTAGCGACAGCAAAATGGCGCGTGTGAACTGGCAATTCATCCTCGTCATTGTCGGCTAGAGACATCGCAAAGCAGTCGCAACGACATTGTTAGCATGAACCAAGTTGTCACACTGTTGCGCTAAGCGTAGGTTACCTCTTCCGGAGCCGTACTGAAGCAACGGGCTGCGGTCTCGTGAAGCGACCGACCCCACCATTGATCCTGCGGTGGAGGAGGCGCGATGAAGAATGACACGTTCAGCTGGATCGGATCTGGTCGTGAATCACTGTTTTTGAGTCAGAGATTGCTAATCGGATTGTAAAATTAACAGTAGCTAGCTTTAAATCCAAAACAAAATCTTGCTCACATTACACGTAGATATCCTAATATCTTAAAAAAAAATGCCCACTACCATCCAAGGGGTTTTTAGCATCCCTCGCCACCAGCGATGACTAGACATGCGGTGGAATCGTAGATGCTCATGATGTTGGTCATGACGGACCACACGAGAGCAAATATTAGATACACCACTGTGATGACTCCCATTACGTAGCTTGAGCCGCCAAGACGTTTCATGACCTGGGTCTGCTCCTTTTGCCGCGGGAGCATCACCAGGAACACGAGCGAGAACATGTTGAAGGCGTACATGATCAACACTGTGTAGGTCACATCTTGCCTCACTCCATGGCTGTCGTTCTGGATCCGCTCGGTCGACAAGTCCCACATGCTGTCGACGTTACGGGTGATGGCAGCAGAGAACGGAGTGCACAGGTTGTAGACCGTTGTGAGAAGGCCGTACATGGCACCCTCGTGTCCTTCCGAGGAGAGTTCCACGATGATGAAAGACCCCACAATGTAGATGATTCCCTGAGGAACTTGCTGCAGAACGGGGATACCAAGCCAGAACCAAGGCGATCGGTTGATATCCCAGATTGTCAAAAGCTTCACCACTGCGTCGAGTGACAAGTTCCAAACCATGGTCACCACCGTTGTGCGACGCCAGTCCCAGTCACGACCGTAGTTACCAGCGAACCAGACCGACATGGCAAACACGCCTGTGGTAAAGAACCCGGCGATTTTCTCTGCGAGCGGAGAAACATTGACCCAGTTCGTCTGAATGGGTAAGGCGGAGACCCACGTGAACATGGCAAAGATACCCGAAATGGTCTGGTAGGCGATGTACTGGTACACAGCTCGAGTCTGCACGATATCCCAGAGCTCGCACATGTAGTGCTTAAAGTTCTTGTGATACTCGGGGCGCTTTTCCTCGTAGATGAAGAACCACGTAGCCGGAACCATCGGCACGAGCACGATGCCCACGATCAACATTAGCATGGGGAACGATAGTGAGAAGTCAAAGTCACCCCCATACTCGTCACCGTTGAAACAAAAAGCCACCAGGATAAGAGCGAAGATGTTGAACACGTAGCGAGTCGTGTAAATCACCGTCTGGGTCCGTCCTCGAATCTCGAGCGGCTCGCGTTGCGCCAACTCCACCACGATACCGTCGGCACACACATCGGCCATCAAATAGCCGAAGACACAGCCCATCATCGGAATGATGTACAAGCTGCCCTGGTTGGCAGCGTCGTAGTTGATCGTTTCGATGATTTCAGGTGTGTAGTCCTCCGGCTTGACATCGCGGTAAGCGGTATCCGTAAAATAAGGTCGACCTTCGGGCGTCACGGCCATTTCCACAAGCATAGCCAACGTGACGATCCAGCCCATGACCATATACGGCCGACGACGGTATCCCCAAAGCGGGAAACAGTCAGACACGATGCCGTAGAAAACCTTGAAACTCCAAGGGAGCTGTACCATCACGGACGCCGTTGTAGTTTGTGAACCCGGAATGTTGAGGTAGTTCTGCAGAAACGGATAAATGACATTGGGCAGCACGCCATCAATGAATCCAACGGCGGCGTACTGCGCGACGAGTCCAATGTACTGACGCGAGAACAGGTTCGGCGCTCCTCCGCTTCGAAGCGCACCTCCTTCGATGTAGTCGTCGTACACGTAACGCAACTTGTCGTAGTCGTGCGCCGGTGGGTCAAGTGGGGACATGCTGCATCGTGACTCGCCCAGCATCGCTGCGCTGTCAGGGTTGTAGAGCTCAACCTTTTCGTCTGGAAGCGGCATTTCGTAGTCGGTCTCCGTTAACGTTGTGTGGCTCATACGCAGGTGCACGCGAATCGAAAACTGCACTATCCTGCTCCATCACTGATAAGAAGCGACGACTTCGAGGACGGCGCCGACTGGAATGCAGAGGGCGGGCAACGTGCGTACAGATTTGCAGTGTTAGTGGATCACCTCTATACTGGAGCCCATACAGTTTGCCATCATCCAAACTTTCTCGTGAAAACAGAGGACAAAACAGAGGGCTCTCGAACATACGCAAGAAATGCAGCACTTCAGTAGGCGACACGACCTGCAGCTAACCGTGGTAAAAAAAAGGACCAAGAGGCGAGGACTCCCGCTCCAAGACGGAATGCACATGGTATTTCGGCAGGGGCTGTCGGTGTCAGTTCATCAGTCTATTGACTCATTGCCAAGTGGCAGAGACTATTGACACAACATGGGAGGACGAATGTCATGATACTGCAATTCTAAAAAAAAAAATGGAGGAGTCGGGAGGAACTGTATCATCAGCCCAAACCAGGCCTTCTTGCGCATTAACCTATAGGGCCAAGCTTTTGCCACGCTTGGTCCTGGGTTAAAGCTAGCATGCTTTCATCTCAGATTTCGCACATTAGCGGGAATGATTGGTCGGAATACAAATGCCAAGTAACCTGTGTTGCATTCCAGGTGGCCTACCAGTTGGAGAATACATCAACTTCGTCGATCCGTAGAACCGGAGAGAGCAGCATCAGCTGGCGGACGCGTCGACCATGATCGAACATAAGTTCTCTTTTAAACATTGTGTACCGTATCACCAAGAGGTCGGGTCCTTTTCAACTTGACCACCTCAACTGAGCTCTCAATCTCGACAATACTTCATGTGTAGACTACGCTTTTGCGTGTGTATTCTTACAGGTGCACTCTACAGTAGTTTTGTAGTTGGCCGGTCGTTGCGGTGCAGGCAGCTCAGTGCTACATGTACCAACACTGGTACTACATACATACACACGTGCTTTCGGTACGTGTCGAGCGGGCGAACAGCATTTGTACAGTACTAAAAAATATAAATTGTACTTTACCAGGTACCGTTCATGTGGTTGCAGCTTCACCCAGCAGACGCACCAAAATGCAAATTGCAGGTGGTGGACGTGAAGTAAGCGTCTCGATGCATTGAATTGCTGTAACCAGCAGAGACATGGCAAACGGCCCCAACATGTTGGCCACATCGGACGACGCGAACCGGCTCGGTCTGCTCGACGTGAACGCCACAGCGTCAATGCTTGAGCGATCGGCGTTGGGAAACACTCACGATTTGAAAGACCCACTGCCGTTGCACTGAACTGCTGGATACCAACCAGACTCTGGTCCAGAGAGCCCCTCTAAGAAGCCCGTTGCCTCAATATCTCCGCCAAGTTCGAGTCTCGACCCTGCGAGAGAGGAACTCCTCTGCGGCAGATGGCTGCCGTCGTCAGTGTCGAGGATTTGTAGTTTCCTGTCTGTTCAAGGTGGTATCCTACAAAGAAGGACGAAAATTGGTGCACAGTAATTGGTTGCCATCGATGCCAGCGCAATGCAAACGAAGCCGAGTAACAATCGCTCGGTTTTCATTTCGGGAGGACAACACGCATGATGTTTTCTCAAAAATAAGAGAAAAAAGAAGAAAAAAAGAGAGAGAAAATGGCTTACAACTTGTAAGTTACAATTCTTAAGTAACTATCACTTGGCCAATCAAATTGACCGAGACGTTCAAAAACAAGTGAGCCGTGCGCTTAGCATCGGAGCTGTATGTGTGTTGGCTTGTTGGTTTGTTGTTCGGGGCGTCTTTGAAAGATGCGATAGGCTATCCAAGTTCGTTGGACAGCAAGCTGGGTGCCGATTTGCTTCTCATCGATGTATTAGCCGTGCGGTGCCGGCGCATTAGTCAATTTCCGCGTTTCGAGGCACACTGCGCCTTCGACTAGTCCCGCGGTGCCAACGTAGCTTTACTTCAACGTACAGGTGCAGGTACCACGATGAAAGCAGCCCGGACGGACACGTTGACCTCGCAACAGGCACCAATCGAGTTGTACAGCGAGGACTCAGGCTCATGGATGATTACGGACTCCCCACAGGACGAGTCTCCCTTCCCCATGGTATACGAGGACCAAAAGATGCGGTATGTGTACGACGATTACATCGAAGGAGGTGCCCTTCGAAGTGGTAGCACACCGAAACTTTTCTCGCGGCAATACTTTGGTCTCGTTGCGCAGTATGCAGGTGTTGGATTCATTGACGGTGTGCTACCCAACGTCATCTACCCGTTCTTGCAGAACTACCTCAATTTACCTGGATCGCAGACTACCACAGCGTTCGTGCTCGTACAGATGCCATGGAGTTTCAAAGTGTTCTATGGCATTATTTCCGACTGCTTCCCCATCTGGGGCTACCGTCGTCGGCCTTACATCCTTGGTGGTTGGATCTTTGCTCTTATCATGCTTTTGATGCTGTCCTTCACACCGGACAGCAAGCCGTATTTCACGAATCCAGACTACCGAGACGTGAAGCCCGAGGACTACACGCCCGAGATTATTGCGACGATCAACTACGACGCGGTCAATGACGGTAGCGTTTATATTATCCCGATGATGGGATGTGCGTTCGGATACTTGCTGTCGGACGTGTGTGCCGATGGAATCGTGGTGGAGCTGGCGCAGCGCGAGCCTTACGAAGTGAGAGGCAATACCCAAACGGTGATCTACACTACGCGGACAGTGTTCAATATGCTGGCGTATATCCTCTTGGGCTTCTGCTTCAATGGCGAGGAATACGGCGGCGACTTTGACTTCTCGCTATCGTTCCCCATGCTCATGCTGATCGTGACTATTGTGCTTGCACCGATCGTGCCGGTTACCTGGTTCTTCCTTCACGAAGAGAAGAACGCTTTCGCTATGAACTTCAACCACTACATGCATACACTTTGGGACATTATCAAGACACGTGCTGTGTACCAGTACATCGCTTACCAGTTCTTCTCGGGCATCTTCGCGTCTTTCACGTACCTGTCCAAGAACCCGATCATGAGGAACTGGGCAGACGTCTCGCCCATTCAGGAAAAAGTGGGTGGACTCTTGTCGACCGGCGTGTATGCTACCTCGATTTATTTCGCTGGCAACTATGGACGCAGTTGGGACTGGCGGCGCACGGCAGCGGTGACTATGGTCTGCTACGTCTCGCTGGATGCGTTTGTGAAGCTGTTGACTATCTGGAATATCATCCGCTCGCCATACTTCTGGCTTGGAATTCCCATTTTGGAACAGATTCCGCTCGGTGTGATCTTTATCGTGAGTTCTTTCATCATTGTGGAGCTTGCAACTGAGGGGCACGAAGGCGCCATGTACGGCTTGCTCACAACGGTATACAATCTTGCTATTCCGTTTGCGACTACCATCACCCGCAACGTGGACAGTTTGTTTGACTTGACCACGGAGCGGATTCAAAACGACACCAACTCGGTGAGGACCGACATGACCATGACGGTGCTCATCATGTGGACGGCCAATTTGTGTTCGCTCTTATTTTTGGTGATGCTTCCCCGGCAGAAGGAGCAAACTCGCGCCATGAAGCAACTGGGCGGCTCCAGCTATTTCATGGGCGTCGTGACTGTCTCGTATCTCATGTTTGCTCTGCTGTGGACGATCACCACAAGTCTGTTGAGTATCTTCCCAAACACATCATGTCTTGTCATTGCTGGAGGCAACGGCTGCGACAACAAACCTGTGAGGCCGTAAAAAAAACTGAAGTAAGTCTTATAATGAAATGCAGCGCCGTCGCTGCTAAAGTGAGTTCTTCCTCTTCGTGTCACCAAGCACTCCGTTATAGCGTTATCAAACAATCGAATGATCCAATCTAAAAGGTGTAACAACATTTATTCACCGCGAAAGTCGCGTTTATCGTGCCGTCCAACCATCTTAGTGATGAGCTATCCCGTTACTGGAACAGCGACCAGTCCAGGACGGCAAAGGACTGCAGTGCCTGCTTAAATATGGCGGCTGCCACCTCTGAGTTGTCCTCGAATTGGAAGGCATCGCGGCTGCTGCTGGCTGGGTTGATGCGCATGGGCGCTGACATTGACAGCACCACGTCCGTAGTCACGCCGGGCAGCCGGATGTTGCCCAGATAAACGCGCACCACGTTCTTGGCATGATCACCCTCCTTAAACTTAGCCACGCTCTGGTCTCCCACGATGATCTGTGTAGTATGCGGCGCGTCGATGTTCGCGGGCGCATTCTTGGTATTCGCCTTTTCTTCGAGCAACACCGTTACCTCGTCGGGCCCGCAGCCGTTGGACTGGGCGATCTCGTTGAAAAAGTAGCGCGCGCTTTGAGCATCTGTCACGCTCTCCTCGTACTGCAGCAGCTCCACAATGACGCACTGGTCCGTGGCCGCGTTCGCAAACACCTCTTGGTTGTCGGGCACCTGTCGAAAAGAGCTCACGTCCGCGAAGCCCTCAGGGATTTCGCAGCTCAGCGCGCCGCCAAACAACGGGCGCAACATCTTCTTTTGAGCTATTTTTTTTTAAAGAAAATAATTAGAACTCCTTTTTGTTTAACCCTTCATTAGAGCGATAAATAACAGTACCGTAGATGACAAAAAAAATGTCATTGGCAAAGATGCTGTCATAAGGCATATCTCACTGGACTATTTTTTCAGGACCCGCATCTTGGTTTCAGAATGCTTCAAATATAAAATTCCATACCTCGACGCGGGACCCGCGTCGATTTGTGATGCGTTACTTTGCGATCGACCTAAAGTAACGCAAAGTAACGATTGATTAAAAGGCAGTTTTTTTCCCAAAGCATTTTTGTGAAAAAGCTAAATGATAATACAAAATTTTGGTTAAATTAAACTTTTCAAAAATTCTGATCGAAATATTTCTTTACTCTACAACTTTATGCAATTATTTTTTAAGCTGACCGAAACAACATTATTTTTTATATTTCAAAAACAATAAACCTGCGAATCCCGCTGTTGTCGTACATCCATTTCATGTGTATTTTGTATTTCTACTGCAGATCTACCCATTGATCAGGCCAAACTTCGAAAGAGCTATAAAACGAGGGCAGTCTTCGACTGGTTTCATCCTTTACCGTTTTCCTTGAGGCATTGAGAGTGTGGAAAGCATTTATTACCACATATGCTGCACACAGTTACAAGACTCTGCTTATTGTCAAGGACCGGAATTTATTTAATATTTTCCGGTCCTTGGCAACAAAGTGCTATTTCAGCAAGCAAGACTCTCAAAATAAAGTGTTTAGCATCGCTATCCAATACTTGTTTTAATTTCATGCCATTACCTATTCTGCCATATTTTGACAATATTATTTTAGGAAATGCTGCTGTATGATGGACGGTGATTTGCGATACGCAGTGGGGGTGAAGAAAAGTCTTCATCGAATACTACTAGTAACGCGGCGCTGCTGATAATTTAGCTTAAGATCTTAGCTGACCTGGTGTCTACACGTCGAGCTCGAGGGAGTTTCGTTTGAGGTGCTTATATTTACTTACTGTGAATCAATACAATAAAACGGAGCTACTAAGCGATAAATACATTTCGTGGCATGTTATTCTGTAGTAGGATATTTTCGTTCCAGCAAGATTCAAGTAGCAGGCCTGTTTCTCAATACAGCCTTTGCTACAATCCTCATAAGCTCGCATAACTCAAGGAGGATTATGCGTCACTTACGATGATGCAGCAAATAGACCAGTGCTGCGCTTACTGTGACAGAGTTCTCATTTTGCTATTTTCCCGTTGTCTAGAGAATCCAAGTCCAGCGTACACCCATGAGGTTTTACGGCTTTCTGCTGATTGCGATTATAGCTCTGACATGTAACGAAGCAGTACCTCTGTCTGCTAGCTTCGGCCAATGGGCGGGCTTAACGGGATCCTCTAGCTCAATTTCGTCCCATGGTAGGCGGATTTTGAGATTTAACGGCTATGAAGACCCGGCGAACGAGGGTGACAACCACGCGAACGACCATGACGAGAGGGGAATTACAGTCGTCAATAACGTCGGAGAGCAATTCTTGAAACTGCACGGTGGTTTTTGGCGAAGAGTTACCAAGCCTCGAAAGTACGATCACTGGGTGCAGCGGTGGGTATTGGCATATGGACACCAGCTGAAGTATGGTCCTTTCGCGATCGATGAGGCTAAGAAACGAAAGCATCAAGATTGAAGAAGCCCGTAAGGCTATTGATTCGGATTTTGACTTCGCAGCTCTACTTTACGATTTCTAGAGCAACCATACAAACCTTAAATTTCGAAATGAACAACACTCCTCTTAAAAATTGAATTAACTAACGTAAAATACGGATCAGTACGCCGCGTTGTATTTTATTAGTACGCCTTCTCGTGCAAATTGGGCGTTATATTCGATTTTGACAAATAAAACTGCATTCAACCAGTGCTGACAGCTCAACCGGTTAAGCCACTTGAGTTTATTGAGGGCCCGTAAGGGAGCAGGATTGTTGTGGGTTCAAGTCCCGTTAATTCTCCGCACTGTGAAATGGTAAGTTCTCTGAAAGTTCCTTGTATTGACCTTAACAATGCATCTCAACTAACTCTTTTTGTGCCAGAGTAGCTTAATGTTTAGGTGCCGTATTTGCATTCCGAACAAGTAACGTAAAATACCGAATAAAACGCTCGCATCGAATAGAACTACAACGCTCTCTGAAAGGGCGTTGTATAAAAATAGATTGCGCTAGCTGTGCCAGTCATTGTTTATGGTTGAAGTGCTGCTTAAACGAATGGTTCGACGCCACTAGCTGACGAAAGAGAGACCAGGAGTTGCTTTCTCATTCTCTAAGTTTCAATGCCGGCCCGAAGGAAGAGCGTCGAAATAATTGAATCATGTAGACCCAGTTGTCCACTTCTTCTTCGCTATCGACGCTGATGATAAAGGAACGTCGTTGATTCTTGATCATTTTTCCTTTCTTCGTCCACTTCGAGACCTGCACTTGGAAGCAGTTGACTTTGGCAGCCACCTCGGGGTCACACGCACTCACTTTGGCACCAAGCCATTGAGTGGGTTGCGACTGAAGGAGGAGAGGTGCCTTCACGCGCCGTAGCCCACTTTCGGCAGCGCGAATGGCGCATTACAGCATCGTGCTTTCGTCAGTGGCGGCGGGACCGCGAACAGATCATGGCTGAGCACGGTGCTCGTCGACGCATAGTGGGTGGAGGTCGACGACCTTTGCTCGGTGCTGTTGAAGATGCGCTCGTTGATCTGATCTACGAGAAACGCATCAGAAAAGAGAAAGTATCGCGAAGTTGGATCGCGTTGATGGCTTTGGAGCTGTTTCACCAGAGCCGTACCGAAGAAAAGCACGAAGAAGACCCCATTCGCTTCGTGGCGTCAGATCCCTGGATCAACAACTTCATGTCCCGGAACAATCTACCGCTTCGTGAGCGCACCAATCTGATGACATTGACGGACGATGTCCTTATCGAGCGTGCTGTAGCATATATGCAGTTTTTGGAGGAACACAAGCCGCATAAATCGCGAGCGTACCATTCTGATGGACGAGACTGCAGTCTACTTTGAAGATGCTCGGGCTTACACGGTTGACGATGTTGGTGCTCGCCATGTTGTGGTAAGACCCACGGGTTTGCTTCCATGTCATGCGGATCACCGTCATGGCTGTTACTGCTACTGGTAAAAAGTTACCCCCGTGCCTCATCTGGAAACGGAAGAACCGCGGTTCTATTGAGCGCCTTGGAGGCTGCTACATTGCTTACCAACCTCGTGCATGGGTGGACCAGGACCTGTTGCTGAACTGGCTGGACTGGTACTATCCTACCGTGTTACAAAGGACAGACCAGTACGTCGTGTGGGACTCGATGCGTGCCCACATTGAGAATCGCGTCAAGCAGCGTTGTAACGAGAAAGCCATCAAGATTGCTGTTGTTCCGGGTGGTATCTGCAAGCGGGATATGTGGACATTTACAAGTCCTTCAAGGACAACATCTCTCAGCTGATAGACGAGTGGAAATGCTCGGACAAGGTCACGTACACGGACGGTGGAAATCCGCGCCCACCAGAGCTCGCTTTGGTTTCATCGTGGGTGCTCAGGCTTGGAAGCAGACTCCAGTTGAAGTTGTCGAAAAAATTGTACAAGTCTGTGGCTTCAATGATGACTCGAGTGCCTGGCGCATCACCAAACACGACGTCTACGGCTCGAAGTTCAGAGCTGCGTGGCATGTACGCGAGAGCGGGGACTGTGGTAGCGATCATGAGAACGATATTGCTGCAGTCATGGAGACGTTTGACGAGATCTTGATTGAAGATTACAGATACTCTTATTCTTTCTTATTTTTCCTTAGGCCTAGAACAAAGGACTAAAACAACATCACTTCATTCCCTTCTCGGCATTGGCATTGACCGAATACGCTTGTTCTCTTCTCTTATTTCTTAGGTCCAGAACAGGGGTCTAAAAACACCACTTCTTTCCCGGCCTTGGTACTGGCCAAGCCCATGCGAACAGGCTTAAATCCAGAACACTTGATCAATACCAGAGCCACATGCACCACAGAGTAGACAATTATGGCGATGGAGTAATGTTTATGTGAATTTTACAATCCGTCTGTACCAAGCAAGATCCGTTAAAAATAACACAAACATACAATGCTCAATAATAACCTTATTTCGTAATTGAATTGATTTGTCTCCAGGGCTCGTAGTAGTAATTTACTGCGTTCGTCGTCGCATGCAAAACTGCGGCTATATGGGTCAGATGCACGCAGATTTGAATAGCAATTGTTGCGCGTTCTCGACAGCATGAAAAACTTGAATTTCAAGCCGTCCACAAGAAATTCTATTAACGGGGAGTTGCTCTTTATGTTAACCGCGTGGGTCTTTTTGTTCACCCGCGAGGTGTGCCCAAGTCACCGTCGTGCTTGTGTAAGCGATGATAGAAGTACCTCCAAGCTGGACAAACCTCAGCATATCTATACCTATAGCGATGGATTTTGACAAACACTTCAATAAATCATGTTGGTAGCGTTATGGAATTTTTCGAGCAGCTCGACTTTATTTGATCTGTGCAAGAGGTTATGTCAAACGCTCTGTTTCATCTTGTATAGCTCGGACTCTTTCATTTTTGTTCTATAGAGAAGAACTTTCGGAGCAGATGGAAGTTATGGAACCCTTCCCAGCACTCCCAGCATGCTGTCTGGCAATCGTAAGGTCTATCATATGCGGCGTGGAGAAGTTGACACACTCTGTATTCCATGGATATTAATCCAGAGTCTATTCAGTGATCGCAATGGAGGTCAGATTATGTGTATACTGTATAACCTTCCAGATTCGGTTGGAGTGGGAAAATCTCTTTATAATATTTTCTGCTACAGCAGATTTCCCCTAACGACCTGTTATTATCTCCGACAGTTGTCCGTTCAGCAAGCGATTAGGACAAAATTCCTTGCTAATTTTAATATTATCTCAATTCATTTGTTTGCCAGCAACAAATCGTTATCTAAACCACAAGCAACATTTAGATGTTAGCTTCCTTTAAACGATAATCATTAACGACATGTTCATTTGTCTGTCCTATCACCAACATATAGTGTCGCGGACATACAGATCGCTGGATTGGGTTCGATGATAGTAGATTCACAAAATCGCAATCATATTCTTCGGCAACGTATATTTAGAATTGGTATGGTGTTTGGCTGTAGGACCGTTTGTAGACGATAGGCTCTAGAGCTAGAACGTGACCAAGCCGACACAAATCTCACTTTATGTTTCTAGATCCCGACATTAATTTAATTGTACTATTCGAGTTTCATCCAAGTTACTAGTTATTGCAGTACCAGTAGAATCAGAATATGGGATCACCGCAAGAGGAGACTGAGGGGTCATCTTGTGGAGATAGCGTTGGTGCAGGTCTCAATGCGCCGAAACGGTGCGGTCGTGCATGAGCGTATGGACTAGGAAGACGAGGTCACGTTTTTCTTGGAGAGAGAGCTCAAGTACACTCGCCGCATGTCGCTGTAGCCGTTCAACCGTATGTTAAAACGATAGCGCCAGCGTTAGAGAAGCACCTTGTTGCACTCAAGTATGTTCCAGTCGAGCCCAAACGACAACCTTTCCTAGACTACTTGGCAGGTGGAAGCACGTTTCGATGTTCGTAGCCGGAGTAGTGTCAGCCGTCAGGGTTTCCTAAAAACGTATTGCGATCAACAATAATTGCCATATTTTACCATACAATTATGTATTTCAAGCCGACACGACTCCCCCGTCTATAACTTATTTCGGAGCATTCAATCCAGACATTAATTTGTTTCCTCATTTAAAATCAATTATCTACCAATCGTAACCCTAATTTTTAGCCAATCATAAAGTGGCCGCTGGAGTTACTTCACAACGAACATTTCATGCAGCTGCTCTAAGCTGGCCAGAGCTCCAGATCCAATCTCCTATGTTATCGACGGAGCGTGGGCTCTCCGCAAAGACCTGTGCTCTTCGATACAAGAATGGGGAGCGTGGCGGCCATGGATGGATCGCTGTGTAAGTCAACGGAAGCTGCAGACGTATTACGGTAGGCACTACTGTAAACCACGGTGTCACTGCAATAGCTGTAAAAAAAGTCCTTTGGTATATAAAATGTTAGCAAACGCTACAATTTTACAGGGTAAAAAGAACTCCGACCTAAATATGCAAGCACGTGGAGATTTGAAGAATCTGTAGCAATTTGTTTAGACATGTATGTGTTAAAATTGGGTGTCGTCACCGCAAAACTGTAATCACACATTTCTTTTCTCGATTTGAAGGTTTTTTTACGGTGTTGCAGTGAGGCGGTGCGTTGCTGTGAGGCCGTTGCTTTATGGTATGCACACATGGGTATCAATGTACAGGAGTGTTGGGATGCCTTCAGCCGCTTTGTTTACCTGGTATGACTCCTCCTGGTGGCGTGAACAATATTCGTACCAATCGGGATACGAGTCTCCTGGAAGTAGTTTAAAGGATGGAGGACGAATATATGTCGTTGTAGACAATGCGTACAAGACCACTGACCACGTTCTTACATTTTTTTTCTGAAAACCGAAATTGACGATGCCTACAAGGGTTCATTTAAATTTCATTTGTCACAGCTGTTGAGCAGAATTGAAATGACCTTCGACCTATTCGTGTGGATGTGGGGCATTTTTTTCAGCGACCACTCCAACACAACCATGAGCACGTCACGAGGATTATCCACTGCGCGGTCATACTTCACAACTTCGTGGTTTGAGCGTTTAAACAGCAGAAAACATCTGCTACCCTGTCGCCAACGAGCTGCAATCAGAAGTAACACTGGTTCGTGTAAGTTGGACGAGGAGGAGGAGACTTATTGAGTAGGAAGCAAATCCAAAAGTGAGATTGTGATTAAGAAGTCCTGGCAGCCTACGAGTCTCCTATCTCGAATGTACACAGTCTTCGCCTGCCTTGCACGCCCGGTCTTCAACGATGCTCCCAGGTGCACCTAACATCTGATATCATCTCGAGACATCTAAGCGTTCTGATGTCGCTAGGCTGCCATGTGCCACTTGTCGTGACGACTGGGCGTCCAACTGTGTAGCTTTTTGCAATGTACTAACGTACGAGACCAACGACCATAGCTGCCTTCTGCCAATGAGAGGTGTTGCACGCAATGCAATTGTTGAAAAACTTAGAGATGATACTCATTCAGTAAGATGCTGGGGAATTGGTCGAGCACCTAATTCTTGGCCTGTTGCCAATACTGAATCACAGAGTGCCGAGCAAAATTTTGGCCTTTACGTCGCTCCTTGAAGGCGAGGCAGATGCCAAACTTTCCCACCACAGCTTCCAGAACCGGCGCGGCTGTTTCGCGACTCATAGACGTCTCCAAGTAGTCCCTGAACATATCTCCGTCATTTTGAAACGCTCGAAACGAGCGTTGTACGCTCTCTCGGGCGCGCTTCGTGTTCATAAGTGCGAGCTCGGTCAGGTTCATGCTGAGTCGAATATAAGTGACGGTCGCGGTTGCTGCGCGTAGTCACCATTGCGAGGACGGTTTGGTAACATGGTGAAGTGCAGGGACGAAAGTCCAGCAGAGAAAAATGCCGACATGCTGCAGCTTGCTGCGCGCTTGCGCAAGTTGCCGAGTAAGCAGCGGCACCGACGCCCAAGCCTGTAGTGTATTAGTAGGATTAGAAGCAGGATGGGGACTGGCAGCTTGCCAGCCAGTAGTCTATCGAAGTCCTGGAGGCACCTGCGCAGCAGGTGGAGCTGGGGCGCAGCCCTGGCTCTTCCTCTCCACTTGACAGGATATGTCGGAGATGCTGCAGTATTTCCGAAATATGCGAATAACTAACAGCTTGCAAATCGATAAATGGACGTCCCTCCGACTCGATATGTCAAATATGTGGTTGTACAACAACTACACACAGGACTTTTCTGATTGGACAAAAATCTGCAAATAGTGTTTTTTTATTTGGTAATAACAACAAAACGTCCACTTGCAACCGTGAACTGTGTGTGAGCGATCGAGCTGCTAGCAGCTTATTATATTTGTCCAAGAATGTGGTCCAAGGCGTAGCGCCAACTCAAATGTCTGCATAACTAGTTCCTCCTATGATTATGATGAGCTATCTACACATCTCGATCCCGCTATTAAAATATAAGGTCTTAACCGTACTTGAAATATAATTATCGGATATTCAGTAGGCTACACCAGCAATTATTGTAAGTTCGACTGGAAGTCAATTTTCAATCATGGTAGCAATAATCCCAGTGTGGGGAAACGTGGTTACACTTAAAACTGCCAAGTAGCTCCTTTTTGTTCTCCAAAGTGGTCTGGTCACCTCACTTTGTATTCTGATATACTGTACTTAGAAGAATAAATCAGACAAATCTGATCGCATCAGAAATTCTGATTCAGAATACACAATTAGGTGACCGTTTACTTGATTTTTGTTCTTACAAGAAATATTTTTTTGCTATCTATCTACATTTTAAAAATACATCAAATACAAAAGTGCGTTTCAAATAGCGCGCATTTTGATTGGTCAAAGCTATTGGATCGGGTTCGCGACCATTAGATCAGCAGAATTTCGGCCATGAAGATCGAGGAAGTGCAGTCCACAGCCAAGGCGCAGCGCATTGCGTCGCACACGCACGTGAAGGGGCTGGGTCTGGAGGCAGATGGCACAGCGCTGCCCATTGGATCGGGACTTGTAGGCCAGGAAAAGGCCCGCGAGGCGGCAGGACTCGTCGTGGAGCTCATTAAGTCGAAAAAAATGGCAGGCCGCGCGCTGCTGCTCGCAGGAGCCCCCGGCACTGGTAAGACAGCTATGGCGTTGGGTATTTCCCAAGAGCTGGGACCTAAAGTTCCGTTCTGTCCCATGGTGGGCTCCGAGGTATACTCATCTGAGGTCAAGAAGACGGAGATTTTGATGGAAAACTTCCGTCGCGCCATTGGGCTTCGCATCAAAGAGAGCAAGGAAGTTTACGAGGGAGAAGTGACGGAGATGACGCCTGAGGAGACAGAGAATCCACTTGGAGGATACGGCAAGACCATCTCTCATGTTATTGTGGGACTTAAGACAACCAAAGGCTCGAAGCAGCTGCGACTGGACCCCAGTATCTACGAGTCACTGCAGAAGGAGAAGGTTTCGGTAGGTGACGTTATCTATATTGAGGCCAACAACGGTAGTGTCAAGCGAGTTGGACGTTCGGATGCCTATGCTACCGAATACGATCTTGAAGCGGAGGAGTACGTGCCCATCCCCAAGGGCGATGTGCACAAGAAGAAGGAGCTGATCCAAGACGTGACGCTGCACGATCTGGATATCGCCAACGCTCGGCCTCAAGGTGGACAGGACATCATGTCCATGATGGGTCAGATGATGAAACCAAAGAAGACGGAGATCACCGAGAAATTGCGAACGGAGATAAACAAGGTTGTCAACAGATATATTGACCAGGGCGTGGCTGAGCTGGTGCCCGGTGTCCTCTTCGTGGACGAGGTACGACCCGATGGAAACTATACTGAGTTTTTTTTATGACTAAATGGTGTCTGTTCCTGTAGGTTCATATGCTGGACATCGAGTGCTTCACGTACTTGAACCGCGCGCTGGAGTCGACTCTGGCCCCAATCGTCGTGTTCGCCACCAACCGCGGCGTCTGCCAGATCCGCGGCACTGACGTTTCGTCTCCTCATGGTGTTCCGCTCGATCTGCTGGATCGCATGCTTATCATCCGTACAATGCCGTACTCGGTGGAGGAAATGGTGCAGATTATCAAGATCCGCGCCGAGGCCGAAAACATCAAGCTCTTGGAAGACGCCACCGTACGATTGGGCGAGATTGGGTCACAGACGTCGCTGCGATACAGTGTGCAGCTGCTGACGCCGTCCCGGATCCTCGCAGAGACCCAAGGCCGCTCCGACGTGTCAGTGGACGACATTGACGAGACGAACGACCTCTTCAACGACGCCAAGCGCTCGGCGCATGCACTCGCCCAGACGGAGGGATACCTTTTGTAACGACAGACAAAGATATCTAGAACTCAAGGGTCTGGCTAAAATACACTTGAAGGGTCACTTACCATTGTGCTCTTTGGCTTTGCTGTTCTCCTCTTGTTGTATAGGTGTCATGGATTCCGTGAACAACGAAGTCGTGCGAGAGTCGACAATATTTGCAACTCCGTCCCCAAGGGGATATTCCAAACGAGGTATAAGCTCGGATGCTCGAGTGACAGATTCTGGAGCAATCCCGTCAGGAATACTCCCACCAGTTAATCCACGAGATGCGACCTCAATCCTCCGATCCCCAACTCAATTGAAGTCGACCTTTTCGCCCAAGACTCCGCAGTCGCTCATGATGGCGGTCCCTATGACGATGAATGAGTGCTGGCTGGTGTGGAAATTTCTGTGCGACTGGGTCAAGACGCAGGTATCTAATGATACCGGTGTGATCCTGTTTGTATTGTGGCTGACAGACTACTGTATGTTGTATTGGATCGCTGTAGCTTGCGATGGAAGTACCTGCTTCAATTCCAGGTTTCGGTACATTCTATCTGCGAGTTCAAGCGTTAGGTATCCGCATAACACTTTTCGGTAAGTGATGAAGCGGAAGCACTGTTTTTTTGTTCGTATTGTAGACTCTTTACTCTTACTGGTTGCAGAACCCGACAAGCAATTCCTCAACAAATTTTGCCTTCAAGTGGACTCCGAGATGCCTGATCCAGCGCTCGTAGCTACACTATCATCGACGGTTTCCAACTCGGACGCACTGGCATCGACTGAAAGCATTAGCAGAGCACCTAGCGTTGTTGGGCTTGGCGACGTTTTTGCCTTCAGTTTTGTGGAAATGGCTGCGTGCTGTGGTAATGCTGCTGACTCAAAAAGAGCACAGGAATGGCTAAGTGCCATCGTCAACAAATTGGGGAACGCCATGAGTCAATGTGGAAGAGTACGTATCTTTATCCGACTGACTGATACCAAGATTATTGACAATTACCGTTGGTTGCTTTCAATATTTTTAACAGGTAGAACTGAACTTCGGTGTTGGAGTGATTTTGTGTGTCGATGGTGTCGTTCACCGTCACCTACTTTCGCGTGACTCGGTAGGAGTCACTTACAACTGAACTTACAGGGGCAAAACTAAGTTTTGTGTGTATCAACCGTTACAGCATTCGTCTCCACAACTGAAGTACGAGATTCGTACGGGAGAAAGTGTCGTGAAGCGGAATTTACGTGCCCAGGCAGCTCTTCAAACAACCCCAACACCTCCAGCCAAGTAAAATACCAAGTGCTGTATTCCAATGCAAACTTTAGACTAACTTTGCGTTGCGTAAGTTTAGGTATTCTTTTCTGTCGGGGTCTACGTTCTCATCATCGATACAACTTAATCCTGTGTTTGATCGGTCTATGGACGTACCCGATTTTTCATTTGGACCTTCGAATCCACGACGACCGACGTTTCCTTCTGTGGTGACCTCTTCGGATAGCAGGGCTTCTCCTCGCTCAACACAACTGGAAAGGCTACATCGGCGATCACCAAGCCCGCGAATCAGTCGTATCAATACATCTATGCTAGAAGAGTCAGATGAAAGAAACGACGCAGAAGCCGAGTCAACGCTTACCAAGCTGGAGGGAGAGGACACTCGGATGGTGCCGCAGCTTTTCGATCGGCTATGCCGTACACTTTGTGTAGAACCTGACCAGAATGTGTCGTATTTGCTCCCCTCGAATCGCATTGGATCGAACTTTACACCGGCAGCAGCATTGCTGATGACAGAGAAGTCTGCATCACAGTATGGGCAACTAACTAAACATTCTGGAGGTGTAGTTTTCATTGAGAAACCCAGTTTTTTAAGCTCCTCTTTTCGAATGCGAAGAAAAAAGCTGCTTCAGAACTCACCACCTGAACAACGGTACTTTGAGTACTTGTCCGATGACAAGGTCATCGACCGCAGTTACCTTGCTCCTCTTCCAGCTGATCTAGAAGCACGAGTCGTGGCTGCTGCTGTAAAGTACATTGATGGTCCTTCGAGTGATCAGATCGAGAGAGTTTTGGAAGTGGCACATCAAGAGTTTGTGTACAATTATTATGCAAGTGCCAAGAAAGCCATTCTGAATTATTTACTGATGCGTTCGGAGTCGTGCGATCGACTGGGAATTCCACAAGGAGCACCCACTCACGCTCGTTTACCGATAAAGTGGAAGTGGGGAAGCAGTGACGGACCTAATGGTTGTATGGCAGATCTGAAGTATCTAGTTTCAAGACACCGAAGACAAGCAAGCGCAAAGCAAGCCAGGACAACTAACCGCTTTTCTCAATCGGAATCGGTAAATAGCAAAGCAGCTCGACGGAAACGTGTACAGTCCAAGTTGATGTCGCTGCTCATCTTGTCGAACCCACAAGTTCGAGCTCTTCGCCACATGTGGCATGGCATTTATGCATCAATAACTTTGGTAGACCTACCGGGCATCGAGGGTCATAACGATGGTATCGAGCCTATGGATATTATCGAGTTCGAACGAGCCCAACTCGGTTTTTCAGCTAAAGCGAAAGAGTTTGTCATGGAAAATTGGTACATGAAATCGAAGATGATGTTTGAAAGTGCTATTCGAGCAGAAACGTTTTCTATTCATACGTCAGAGGCAGCAGTGAGTTTTCGATTGCGGCATCTATTTGACACGGTAGCAGCAGTGATGTCACTACAAATTCGCTCGCTTATCATGAAGTCTATTCAAGCTTACGTCAGTTTTTTTGAGCGATATGGTGGAGTGAATGAAGAAAATTACGCCAACTCGCGGGACGAAGAGCGGCCGGCGTTTCCAGGTTTACTGACGACGCTGGTGCTTCATGGAGGACAAATACAGGTACATCACACTTCTATGAAATATACCATAGTCCCCTAGTTTGATAGAATTTGTTTACTCACACGTATGTTTCTTTTCGTCTAGTTTCGGGACCCTCTAGTGGACATCCCGAGTCGTCTGTTGAATGTCCTTCACAATATACCCAAGCAATTCTCCAACCTTGGTCGTATTGAGACGCAATTCGAAGAACCAATTGTGTTGTCGACCACATCGACGCCATTTCTGTGGAATGTAGCTGCACAAGAGGATGATATTGTCGTTGCGACGATTAGAATCCGAGCGATCATCGAGCAAAATTTATCGCACTTGCGGAAGTTGCAGGCCGATTATGACATGTTCGCACTGACACACCGCTATGTGAACTCAGTTGACTGTTTTCATCTGGAAGAAAACAGCGAGCTGGAGACGTATCGAGCTGAGATGGAGCGTGTGCAGACTACCGCTTTGCGACTTGCAATTGACAACAGACACTCGCAACATTTAGGTCTGTTCTCAGTGGACTGCCGACAAGTAAATAAGAGACTACATACAGATCTGGCCCAGTGGACGATTCGTCTCCTTCAAGCGTTTGAGCAAAGAACTGGTCGGATAAATGCTGAATTACGCCAGCAATATAAGGAGATCGCCGCTCGCCTCGCGAAGAAACCTTTGGATTTGTACGAGCTTGTAGATGGCGAAACTTTCGTGAAGTCTCTGAAGTCAGCGATGCTCCAAGAACTTCAAGATAAGGCCAACATTATCAAGCAGCGTCTTCGGTTCCTGCTCTTTGAGCGAGAAAATATACACATCGGAAATGTTGAGGTAGATGACGTACCGACAGAACATGAAGGCTTTTCCCTTTCGTTGGATCTTCTCTCATCAACTGCCAAGACGCTTAAGTGGAGAAGTCAGATCGAGAAATTGCTGAAAGAAGCCGAGTCTGTTCTTGTTGACGAGCGATCACGAATCGAGTCCATGTTTATCGCAAAACGATCCCGGTTTCAGGCTGAGATTGAGGAGTTTGAAGGCGAAGTCCGAGGCTTCGCGAAGAAGGGAGACCTACGGCACGCAGCAACTTATGTCATTCAGCTTGCAAAGATGCAAGACAATATTTTCAGCTTTAGGCAAGCTATGGCTACCATTATCCAAGAAGAGCAGAAACTTCAGTGGAAACCGACGGACTTTGGTAAATTGGATGACATTGCTGAAGAAATGGCTCCCTACGAACGATTATGGAAGACCGTGAGAGAGTTTCGTGAAATGAACTCAAGATGGCTGCGTGGGAATATATTCGAGTTGCCAGGGAAGGAAGGGATGCACACACTGCAGCAAATGCTCACAGTCGTGTCCGATGTCTCTAGTATGTTGATTCTGAACTCGGCTGCGGCTGCGATCACTGCCGAAACAGTTCGGAAGCAGATGGCAGATTTTCGCGAGACTGTCCGACTCATTGTGGCGATTCAGAACCCATCAATGAAAGAACGACACATGAAGGCAGTGTCGGGGCTGCTTGGTATCGATTTTATGTCTGAAGAGTTAATCACTTTGTTGAAACTTCTAGAAAATGGAGCGTTCGAAAGGATCAGTGATATCGTCGATATTAGCTGCAACGCAACGCAAGAGCAACAGATTGAACGTGCCTTACACGAGATAAGGGACGAGTGGGAAACAACTAGCTTCAAGCTCGTACCCTCAAGACATCCAATTAGTTTAAGCACGGTGCTTGCTCCTTTATTAAAGACAGATGATCCCGAATCTGAAACATTTAATCTCGTATTAGAGAAAGAGTGTGGGGGAAAAATCGTGTCTATTATGGAAGACCATCTCTTACGGCTTCAAACGCTATCGTGTATGTCCCACGCTGGGCCTTTCATCGATGAGATCGCCTTGTGGCAAACGTTTGTATCTGAAATGGGGCAAGTTGTTGAAATGTTGACACTAGTCGAGCATCGATGGCGCAAGATAACACCACTTTTCGCGGCTGGTATTGTTGAGAATGATTCGACTTCATCTCGGCTCTTTGCCAGCGCAGCCACGCTTTATCAATTAAGCCACGCCTTTATACTCCGCAAACCAGCTTGTACAGAATATTATATGCGATCAAATTCGACAGTGGGCCTAGATCAAGCTCTTCACTCTCCAGCGAGGAGCTTGATATCCGACTTAGAACAGTGTCAAGAAATTCTGGACTCCCTACGAGGAGATGTCCGAGTCGGATTTGATAGCAAACGGGCGAGCTTTTCCCGGTTTTACTTCCTGTCGGATCTCGAACTTGTAACGGCATTGGCTCTTGCAGACGTACCAAGCGATGCTTCACTCTGGAAAGCATTATCTCGATGCTTCCCTGGTATCCACAGTGTTCAAACAAATGCTGCAAATGAAATCACAGCTCTCCTTAGTTCAGTCGGAGAGCCATTTCCTCTTGGCTCCCCGATCATCACAAAGGACACGCCAATGCCGACGTGGTTGGCCAAACTGGAGACTTCGATGACAACAATCCTGCATGCATCCATTCGTGCGGCTTACAGTGATTTGCCTCGTAAAGAATTTCGCAAATGGTGTTTGATTTGGCCCGAGCAATCGCTACTTGCTGCGATTCAGCATGTATGGACACTCCAGTCGGAGCAAGCCTATCAAAATCCCAACCAAAGAAAAGCATGGACTGCAGTTACGGACAATTTAATCCAGAACATTGATGCTGTAAGCAAAGAGATGAGAGTGACGGCTTATCCACACGCGAAAGTGGCACTTGGGAATATTATTCTACTGCTAGCGCAGCTTCGGGATGTCAGCACTAGTGCACTAGCAGAAGTTGGCGGTACATGGGTGGAAGAAAGAGGTGAAAGTAAGTGTGAGAGTTGCACGTATCCGCATTATTCGCCAAGTTTATGCTGGATTGCACAGCCGCGCTATTATTTTATCGACAGCGTGCTCAGTGTCACGATGATGACTTCATTGAATTTGCCTTATGGACTTGAATATTTGGGTAATGGCTCAGCTGGAATGCTAGTAACACCACTCACATTGCGATGTTTTCATGCAATTGCACAAGCTGTTAGTACGATGGTTAAAGGAGCTTGCTTGGAGGGTGCTGCTGGAGTTGGAAAGACCACAATCTGCCACCAATTAGCTCGTTTGTGTGGTCGACTCGACGTCACGTTTCAGTGCGCAAATAGGGAGCTGGTATTCGACGAATTGGTTAACTATATCAAGGCTACCACTTCCTCTGGGGCATGGCTGTGTATTGACAATTTCCAACTGTTGGACCCAGTAAATGTGTCCATGGTAACGATGTTGTGTGCACAAGTGATGAGTGGGCTCGCTGCAAGACATGCGCAATGCTCTCTTGTTGGAGATCGAGTACGTCTACGACGTGGAGCTCTATTTCTCCTGACATTAACAACCAGATCCCCAAAACAAGGCACACCTCGAGAAAAACGTTTAGTCCAAGAAGCACGATTTTTCTTTCGAACTGTTGTTGTGCAGTCACCAGATATTGAGAAGCTAGCTGAGTTCGAGTTTCAATGCGCAAGATTTGTGCACGCGTCAGACCTGTCCAAGCTTTTAGTTGCTGCCCTGGGAGCATGTGAACGTGGATTCGAGCTCATGAGTCACTCATCCGAGACAACGAATGCAGTCAACGTTCTCGGGTCTCGACTCGTTAACATGCGTTTGGTAAAAAGTGTGGTGAAGCGTGCTATGGAGTTAAACAATCTTGAAAAAGAGCATCATAGGCGAGGTCGGTGCAGCTTGTTGATTTCAGATGAAGAGCATGAAGACGTGTCAACAACAGAAACGCCTATTTTGAATGATGCTACTGCAGAGGCTATGGCGAAACGTGACGAAGAACGGATGGAGCACCGAAGTGTTTACCTAGCCATTCAAGAATGCATGGGGTCGGTTATATCAGCAGCAAATTTCCAATTGATCAATTCGATATTACGAGATTTCAGTTCGGATGCTCTCACCGGCGATCTCGATACACTGAATAACGAGGGACAAGGAAACTTTGGGAGCCCCTCGCTATCAACCACTGGATTGGTACATAATCTTGAAAACTACGTGGAGAATTATGTTCGAACAAACGAAGAATGGAAGCATTTTGGAGTGGAGTTTGGCATGAAGATGGTACAACTTCTCCAAGTAATGAGGAATAGCCGTGCGGTGGTATTGTCAGGTGAGGCTCAAGCGGGGAAGACTAGCTTGTACGTTTCACTTTCACGGGCCCTTACCGAAACCTACAGGAGAAGTGCTACGAACCGAACTAGCTCTCGTAAAATGAGCGTTTGCAATGCAAGTGAAGCTACATTAGTAGCTCCAACGCGGTGTGTTGTGGTTTGCCCTCGAGCTCTTCGGCTGGGTCAACTGCTCTCCCTCGATGCTGATGATCAATCACACGGTGTGCTATACAAACTACTCCAGGAAGCGAAGGGATTTTATAAAAGAGACAAGCGTACCCAAACGTGGCTTGTTTTTGACGGCAACCTCGATGGCTTATGGAGTGAGCAATTGTTTTACACCGTTGAAGAACTTCAGGATGATATTCCAGGATACCGGAAAGGCTTACGATTGTCATCGGGAAAGATTTTAGTAGTTCCTCACCATGTTCGCATTATAATGGAGTCACCAACACTGACGAACGCTTCGCCATCTTTTCTGTCTCGAGTAGGCGTGGTACATGTGGACGGACATTATCGTAGTTTAGACCAAGTGGGGGTAAATGTGTACGCAGTTTGGAAAATACTCCGGAGGACGGAGTTCGAACAGTACGTACAACTCATCTTTGGCATACTTGACACGCTAGTGTCTGAATTTGTCCCAGCTACTCTGGAATTTGTTGAAACAAATTTTCAAAACTGCGATAACAGTGGTCAACGGGTGTTGCGAGTTCAGTGGACGCTTGCGCTATTTCACAGTTCGCTGAAACAGTCATGGAAAAAGTTTTGCTCGTTGACGAGTGATAAACAGCGCAATACTGCGATTCACTGCCTATTCTTACAGGCGCTTGTGTGGGGAGTGGGGAGCACCATGGATGATCTGGAGCGCCGAAAATTTCATGTGTTCTTGTATGATTTAATTCTTCATGGTCCTAATAACGAGCAGTCCTCGTTAAAACGGTTGGTCATGTTGTTCTTCCCAAATGGTACTCTGGCCGAAAGTCTCTTGAGCAACAATGACGCGAATAAGAGTAATACCGGATCAAAAATTGCTAATGGAGGGGCAATTTCACACAAGCAGACGATATACGACTATGGATTCTCTGTTGAATTTGGCTCTAAATGGATACCCTGGATTGAGTACTATACCCGCTGGTCACAAATATTACTGGGATCCGCACCAAGTGGACAAAGCACGGCTGAAAGAGGGTCTGAGGTTGGAATAAGTTGTTCTTTATGCTCACAGCTAAACCGACTCGTAGTTCCCACTCCGGCGATTTCGTCAACGATTTGTTTGTCTGGCATACTACTTCTTGGGAACCATCCTACCATTATTACTGGCCCCAAGGATTGCGGGAAAACTGTGTGCGGATCGGCTTGGATTCTTTTGAGCGCAGCAATCGCGCAGATAACGGCTAATAAACCGAATGCATCAGTCTCACCTGAAGAAGAACCAAAGCATGTGGATGCTACAGATTCAGATCAAACTGCTACTGAGGAATCCACTTCTATTGAAAAGATCTATGCTGGATACTATATTGGTGCTAGTGACGTACTGCTACATTTGGAGACTGCTCTTCAACGAATCCGCATTGATCGCCAAGGAGACAATAAACGAGATCCCAACTCTTTTTCAGATAACCCGATCATCCCGGATTCGAAGAATACGGTTTACGTTTTTGTTGATGATTTGCATTGCTTCGATCCAAATCGCAGGATGGACTCGGCATTCGAATTGTTACGCATGCTGGCGGAGTATCAGACCGTCGTTGATCCTGCTACTAGCCTTGTGACAAGATGTGACAACTGTCTTCCGTTCATGACATTACAATTACCGACTCCAAGTACTCGACGCAGCCCAAATCGACCCGATGATGTTGGACGCCTAACACGTAGGTTTATTCCTATTGCGCTGCTGCCCTTTGTGGATTCGGACCTTACCACAATTTGTGAAAGTATTTCGCAATCAGACTCACTCCCATCGCAGTCACCAGCCGCATCTGCGGTAAAAGGATCAAATACAGCTAGCATCAGAGAATCAGAGCACGTACTATCCTCTATTGTTAAAGCAAGCCTGAAGTTATACCGACTTCTGACTTCAAGCAACGATTTTACTATCTTTTCGAAAGAAGCAACGTTCAACCCGATCAAACTTCATTACAACTTCCGTACAGCACAACTCTTTCAGCTTGTAAAAACGATTTGCTGCGAGATTCGACCTCCTTTAACACTTGCTGAGAAGCCGGCGCTGTCTCGGTTATGGTGTCATGAAAGTGCGCGTTTGTTTGGAGATTGCATTATAGATTCGAAGGAATCGCTTAATTTTCATCAGCACACGATCGACATTGCGCTGACAACATTTGGGGTTGCAAATGAAGTATTCTACCCAGATAGCCAGGTACGTCAAGATAGAACCCAAAATTGGTTTGCGAACGACCTCCTTTTTTCGTATTTGGGGGACAGTACTACTGGGGTCTATAGAAATGGCTATCATGAAGTAACCGAAATACCAAAGCTCGAACTTCTGGTTGAGCGAAGTATGATGACGATGAACAGTTCTTCCTCCAATACCCCGGTATCGATGGAGACAGTTATGTGCTCAGACGTTATCAAGCGTGTCTTGCGTGTTAGTCGACTGCTACGAATGGGCAGAAAAGCAATGCTCTTACTGGGTGGAGCTGGAAGGAAACTCGTCACGATCACTCGTCTGGCATGTTTTATCTGTAAAAAGATCTCGACCATTTACCATATTCCAGACGAATTTGCTCGAAGAAACGAAATGAATGATGACAGTACAGATTGTAGAAAGTGGAATGAAACTATAAGAGCTGCAATGCTGAAAAGTATTCGGGCTCGCGATGCATCGCTAGTCCTTATAGTGAAGGACGCTTATCTGAATCCAGAGGCATATCCGTACCGAATTATCGATGAGTTTCTTGGAGGACACAACTTGCCGCCCGAAGTCATCACGTACGACGATCTCGATGAAGAAATACTTACTATTTTACGCGAAATCGCCCAAAGAAAACTCAATCCCGCTCAAATACCTCGCCGACAATCCGTGACTAGCCCTCAGCAAGCACTCTCAATTCTTCGATCAAAAAGATCGATAATGGACTATTTCTTTCAGTGTGTCAGGCAGAAGCTTCAGCTGGTGGTCAATCTTTCACCAAATGACACAGCAACACAACCCACGGGTTGGGCGTCCATTTTGTGGCGGTACCCGAACATTTTAAAAAGCTCCGACATCAACTACTTCGGATCATGGTCAGCAACCAACTTGTCAACGATGGCACAAAAATGCCTGAACCAGTCCTCTATGACTACAGACATTGAATCGATTTTACAGCTTTCCAAGGCTGCTGAGCAGATATATGAAATTACAAGCCGCTTTCTGAAAGATCAGCAAACAAAAGAAGCCCGTACAGATGTAATCGAACCCTTTGTGAAGCACCACCAGAATGACAATGAGGAAACTGCAAAGACTACACCAGTGTGGGATAGCTTCGTGTCTCCGTTTGTGAAGCTGGAACCAAGCATGCTTACGGATCACTTAGGTTTGTTTATCTCACATTATGATACGCTACAACGCACAATATCTTTAAACGTAGCGCGCTTTAAAGCGGGCCTGGAATTCATTGACCAAACCGCCCAAATCCTGAAAACCGAGCAGACTCAAGCTCAGTTGCTACTTCCAGAAATGCTCGAAAAGACAGAACTACGACGGAAGATGTCTGGCAGCTGGGAGAGAGAGAAAATTGCGATGGATAAAGTTACGAGAGCTCTTGAGCTAGCCACTACTTTAGTCGTCACTCAGCGCGAGCGACTTGCTACAGTGACGCAAGAGTATCTTGATTTGATTAAAGACTCTCGGGATGCGTTTGATCAAATTAAATGTACACTTCGAGTTTTTCACGAGGCTTGTGAAGAGGAGGAAGTCATTGAAGAAAATGACAAGAAGGACGAAGCGGCTGATACTGCAGATAAAGTCGACGACGTCTGTACAGTTGACGCTGAAAGAGTTGCCAGACGACGTCTTCGTAATCAAATTCGTGGCTTCACGTCGTTGGGTAGGATCCCTTCCTCCATTTATCAGCTGTCCGAGTGCCTTGGTGTGATTCTTGGTATTGAACCAGTTGAAGGACGTGATGAAATGGATCCAGACGAGATTATCATGAACTACTGGACAAATGTCGCCATACAAGCCAAAACGGCAGCATTCTGGAAAACGCTGATGACATTTGACGTTCGAAATGTCACGGAAAAGATGCTGAGTGTATTGCTTCCGATTTGTCGGTCACCTGACTTTGATAAGGATTTGTTTGCGTCAGTGCACGAGATTGCTGGTTTCTTGTGCGAGTGGGTTCAGAAATGCACCTCGTTTGCGTTAGATTTTGTGTTGGCTCTACCAAAACAAGCTCAACTAGAACGTGAAAAGGAGCTTTTAAAGGAAGCAGAAAAACAAGTAGTCAAGAGTAAAGTGGAGATTTATAATCAAAGTACATCCGCACAACAGGCTGGCACACAACGAGATTTATCAGAGCAAGAGCGACAGAGAGCAGATGAGAAACTTCATGACACGACGTCCCTGCTGCAACTGACAAGCGTAGCGTGGAAAGTATTATCTTCTACGCGTGAGAAGTGGCAGCAGCGGTATGACGCGTACATTGACTTTGCAGAACATTGGAAAGGTGACCTGCTGTTAGCTACAGCAGTGATAGCCTACGCATCATGTCTTAATTACTCTGCACGCTTACGGCTTCATCGGCTTTGGACAGACTGTGTGACACCGTATTCAGTATTGCCGTCGTCTCAGCGTCGACCACTGCATGAAATTTTCCGAACTCGAGACTCCGAACTTACCAAGATGGAGTTGAATGGGTTGCCACCAAATGACGAAAGTACGCTAGAGAACGCAGTCATCGCTTTGAATTGCTATCGTTTACCTCTCCTAATTGATCCTTACGGTGTGGCTTCGGACTGGCTCAAAAATCACCTAGAAACGAGAAAGCTAACTGTTGTATCAGGCAACAATACGTCGACTAACGCCGGGATCTGGAAAGAAGTGGAGGCAAGTGTAAAACGACAAACGCCCCTAATTATTTTGGATATCTGTAAAGATCGCTTACAAGGCTTACACTCATTCCTCTCAGCAAAACGAAGAGCTGTCATTGATGCAATAAACCGTGATATCAGTATCAAACGCAACGGTAACGGATATCGCTGTTGGTGTTACCCTCCCGAGGATCCCACGGAGGAGATTGATCCACTAGAAGCTCCAGTTTTTGAATTCAGCAGTGACGCGTGTAGTGTCTTTTTCGTGTACACAAATTCAAATGCCACGCCGGAGTGGATGGCAAAGTATCTGAGTCAGCTTACAGTAATTCAGATTGAACTGACTGTCCCGTTCGTGGAAACACAGGCTCTGCAGAAACTACTGGAGTCTCAAGGACGACTGCGAGAGATAACGGAGATCCGAACGCTGCAGCACGAGATTTTGGTCTGTGACGAACAAGTTTATGGTCTCGAAGAAGAACTACTGGAGTTCTTCAGCACAGAACATGTTGAAGGGGTTTACGCGGATAACTCAAAAGCACTAAGAATTATCGCAAACCGAAGTGCTGCAAACACACTGCAAAGCACAAAGTCCGAAGCTATTGCAAAGATCCAGATTCACTGGGATAGCCTGTCGAGTTACGTCGCTGTTGCAAGACGATGTTTGGATGCAGTCTGGGCTTGGCGTGAGTTCAATTATCTGGATCACGGAGGCTATTCTGGAACCGAGGACGTGTTTCCTCTTTCGCGGGTATGGCAGTTGTTGGTTCGTGCTGGCGAAACGAGCAATAAGAACGACAGTAATTTGGAAGAGGTCATGGCTTATTTCACCAGTTATGTACAGCAGTGTGTCATTATAAATCTTCATGATGAAGATTGTCTACTCTTTAAATTTCTACTGGCATTTCGTATATGGCAGCGGCGCATGGAAGAACAAAAACCGTGTACAATGGGCTCCGATATATTGGGAGTGTCATCTGAAGCTAGTCCACACAATCGACTTTCCACTGTTATCGAGCTACTTGTTCGCTTGCTGTCGCTTATTGGTCCTACTGATGGTTATGACATCTGTAGGCCAACAATGAAAAGCTTACTTGAGCTTCGTCCGACAGGTATGAAAGCGAAGGTCTGGTCTGCAGTCTGTTACTTAGCAGAGGCGTCAGGAACTCTTAGGCAGTTTATCCAGACCATGCAGACCGTCGAAGGAGGTCAGATTGCGTGGAAAATAATGTTCGAACAAGAAACAATGAGCTCAAGTGAGTGGAATGTTCCGGTTCCAATTGACGCATTTATACGCCTGTGTATCGTGGTAGCTATTCATCCACAGAGATTTATATGTGAGCTTGAAGACTTCACGGAGCGTGAGTTACAGCGGATTTACTCAGTACCAGTCACATCGACATTCTGCTCGCTAACCGTGACGGAGACAAATACTCCTTCGCTTCCCACACTTGTGGCCGCAGCAGCGTATTCTGCACAAACTCAGGCCCCCGATCGTCAACGAGATTTGTTCTACACGTGGCAGTCATTTTCAAGTTCCAAGACTCCAATTGTTGTATTCTGTCCTTTAACAATCAGCTTTATGGATGCAGTAGCAAACGTGGCGAGACGAGCTGGCGCAACGATGGATACTACTGACACTATCCAGCTATTGCGCACCGATGAAGCTGGTTTCAAGAAAATGGTTATGTCCGCTATGGAGACAGGCCAGTGGATCGTACTCCCTAACTTACATTCATGCAGCGATCGACTAGAACAACTCAACAGAATCTACGAGCTAGTTCAGGATGAAAATATTCATTCTGACTTCCGTTTATGGATATCTTTACTCAAAAAACCCGTGTACGCCGAGTTCGAAAGCATGCGAGTCAGTCAAATTGCCATTCGCAGAGAATTGGGAACAGGATTTCTTTCCCTGAAGCGAGCTTTACACCACACATTTTCTATACTGAAGCACGAACTCGATGGCTTGGCATTTGCAAGCACTGTAGCAGCTTCACATGATGTGGCGGATACTACTTCGATTTTCAGTGAGAAAGAAGAGAGATGCATGAAACAACTGGGCGTATTCCATGCTGTTGTTTCTTGTCGTGATCATTTTCCGTTTGCTCAGTGGAAAGCAAATGCGGAATTTGGAGATACAGAGCTGTGCGCAGCAGTTCGTTCGATGGTGACTCTGCATACAGAGAAGGAGACATTCGCTAACGAACTTCGGAGTGCTTCGTGGGATGAACTGACACTCCGTGGAGTTATTTCAAATGTTTATGCCGCTACATTGAAAGCTGACCAGGATAAACTGCTGCTTGAATGTTGCACCACCTTCATATTGAACGCATGGCCCACAATGCCAAACGAGAGTAAACTTGACACCGCAGAGATCGTAGCACACATACTCATTCCAGAAGTCGTGTTTGTTATTGAGAAGCTGGCTGCCATCCCGTGGATGTCCACTGTAAGCGCCATCCCACATTTCTGGAAAAGTGAATCGCTTGGTCCACAACTTCTGAAAGATTCAGTAGCTGCAAGTGGAACAACGACCGAAATCACCACGTTGTGGGATCCCCACTACTTACGCAGAGAGCGACATGAGAAAATGGTAGCAAAGCTAGCGGTGATGGCAGCAAACAGAGGGTACCAGGTGAACTCGACGCTGATGCCGGCAAATCCACGTCATACGAAGGGAATATTGCCTGTGCTGGAATTGCTTACATCATTCAAAACTAGTATTGAAAGCATCCTCGTATCGAGCGGTAGTGACTGCGAATATCGGAAACCAATTCCAGCGCTTATTAACCATGAACGCCTTGTACTCCAACAAATCCGAGCAGTAATACTGACGGATATTTGGCGATTGGATACGGTGCGTCGCCGCATCGCTTTTAGAAGCTTGCAACGATCTATGTTGACTAATGCTTTTTGTTTTGATTTTGCAGGTAAGCATTCGAGACCGCGTTCTTGATCCAGCTACCTGGCAGTTATTCGAAGAACTTCGACGTAACCGTGTTCCAATTCGATGGCTCTCACTTATGCGTCTGCCATGTTCGAAAGCCAATGCACCGGAATACTACACGTTGGACAAGTTCCAAATACTTTTACTCGATCGAGTTCACGCATTCTCATCTTGGACGGAACCGATAGACGGCCCACTGAAGTTGCCGTTGGATAAATTCTTGTCGACAAAGGTACGTTTAGTGTATTACCAACTACTTCGAGTTACATGACAAGAACGATCTGACAAGAAACTTTTTTGAATATCTGTTCTTATGCAAAAGTATGTCATTGAAGCTGTTCACCAACATTTCGTTCGCAATCACGTTGGCAGCGCATTGTGTTACCCAGATTGCCTGAAAATAATCTCGCTGTTTGAGGATTCTCCAAAGTTTACACTTCCAGCCAAAGAAAATGTCGTCTACTTCACTGGCTTACGAGCGATGGGGTATTTGCAGCTTCAGATTATCGATAGCAGAGGCAATTTCCGTCGCGGTCCCATATGCCCGGAGGGCGTTCCTGTGGTTTTACAGGTGAGCAGCTCGTGTTTACCAGGAACAACTACGCCACCTGAAATGGTTACCGAAAATACGAGACGTAAACCGACGGAGCCCAATCAACCGGTCGATTTTTTGTGCCCCCTTTTCAAAGCTTTAGAAGCTCCACATCATTCTGTTCGGCCCGAAATCAGTATTCTAGTGGTGGCCACGGTACCTATCGAACAACTTGTATTGAGTGGGGCGAGTTTGCAAATTCAAACTAGTAATTTGTACAAGTAGAAACAGTAAATTGAAATGAAGCGGTTATTGCTGTGCTTTGACTGAATAGAGTTGTCGAGAAAAGCGGATAACGAGTGGGATATCGGCTTTACGCATGATCTTCTCACGACCAGGCGAGTTATCTAACCACTGCAGAAGTCCTGTAATCTGTAGTTCCGGTGTTTCGTAGCCAGGCTTAGAGCCGAAAAGTTCTAATGCTAGTCGGGCCAGAATCATTTCAAACGCAACTTTCTTCAGTGTCTCCGCGTCGACACCAGTCGGTGGATCTTTGTCATGAAGGGCGAAATATGATTTGAGTAGTCCAGCGACTTCTGTGTGCAAACGTTTGAGACTCACGCGATCCATAAATGATGGAATTAAGTCGAAATCGATTGCGAAGTTAAGCACGCGTTCAAAACTCAATCCAAATAGCTCAGATTTGACAATTGAGATTGCAGCTGCCGCAGTGGCGTTGGGAAGGTGTTGTGCGCTGTAGAATTCACAAATTGTGCCAAGTGGACGTTGTTCTCGACTCAGAATTCCAGTCATCTCTAGCATCGAATAGACTACGTCATCGCGTTTATACGATTGGTTCAATGATGCGGGAGGGTCCGAGTGAGAGCGTACTTGTCCGGAATTAATGCTTGCGCTTCTTGATTGTATTTTTTCGTTTCCATAACCCACGTGCAGTGCTAGTTCATTCAGAATGGATTTCAAGGCTCGAGTACAAACTTGAGAGGGTGATGCAACGGTGACACCGGATCTTCGATTCAATGAGCATGTTGACGATGACCTCCTTAGTTGATTTGTTGGTATCGATAATGATGGTTGTCGTTGACGCATATATGGTCTCAAATACAAAGCCACCACAGTTTGTAGCATATGCAGCAAATCAAATCGTGGAAATCTGCGCATTCCTACCAACGTCACGGCCTCGTTGAATGCATCCTGGCTGAAAAAGCGAAATCGTTTGACGTCGCCGACAAAACTTGCGGATTTTGTTGGCGAATTCCTTTTCTTTAACTTTGCCCAGCCGGTAGGTGGCGCCCATGTTTCCTGTGATGTACTGCTGAAGTCTTTCCGAGATAATGAGTTTCTTCGATTGGATTGAGCTTGAGCCAATACTCCAGCCAAAACGACGTCGACATCAACAGGGAGGACATTTGGAGCCTGTAGCAATCCGCTTTCCATAAAGAATCGACGAACGGTAGACACATGAATGCCTTCCTCATTTGTTCCTTCAATCGACGTGTCAAGCGACTCGAAAACTGAAACCAAACAGCTTTGTATCTCTGAAGTATCAACCGAGTTGGGATCGTCGTTAAGATCTCCGTTGACTCTACTGATACGAGTGTGTATGGGATACACACTGGCTGACCGGGGAGGCGAAGACATGGATTGAGGGTTTGCCGATTCTGACAGATGAATAGCCAGCACTTCGGTTGGGAGTGAATTTCTACGAGAAGTCGATATCTCAGGATTCGTTTTCTGAGCTCCAGTTTTTGTCGTTGATATTTTTGTCAATTCATCAAACATTCCAGGACGTCGTACATTGACGTCTTCTTCTCGCATTAAGAGGGACTCACGCCCTTCACCTCGACACTCTGCGAGTTGTTGTAACATCTCCATCTGTAGCATTCAGACAAAATCGTTAGTGAATTAATATATAACTGACGCGGTTCTGCCAACAGTAATTTACCTTCTCTTGCTTCAGGATTTCAATCTGAAGAAGCGCGTCATCCCGCTCGATTTCCACTCGTTGTAAACTGTGCTTACTTTCGCGTGTTCGCAGCATATACTCCGTTCTCAAATGATCATTTTGTTGTAGCTCATGAACCACGCTCGACTGTTGAGATGCAAGGGATTTGGCTTCACGAACCGAATCGTTAAGCGCTAGCGAGAGCTGCTCACTTTGAACTGTCTCAGCCAATCGAAGTGCACGCTCCACCTTACAATTTCGCTCTGCTTCATCTAACGAATTCTCAAGAGTGCGCATGCGTCGAAGTATTTGCTGCTGCTCGTTGCTGTAGTTGGCAATGCGCACGTTTTGAAGTGCCAAGAGTTTGCTCTGCTCCTTTGAGCGGTGTAAAACGATGCGGTACCGCTCATTTAGTTTGTGGGACGAACATTGGACGTTTTGCACTTCGCGAGTGCTCACATCGTACACGTTTCGCCGTTTTTCAAATTCATTATCTGAAATGTCGATATGACTATGCTCGGCTTCACGATACTTTGTATCGTGCAGTGTTTGCCATTTTCCTGCGTCTCCATTCAACACGATCGGGTCTGGGCCCCGCTCCGTGAATCCTGCTTGGTTTACAGCAGTTAAATGATCTTTTGTGCAACGTTTAACTCCATAAGGCATTTCGCACGAAGTGTCTAGATGGTTCGTGCTGTTCAACTCAGCGACGGTCATCGGAAGCGAACCAATCCGACCGGTAGAGGTATTCGTGCTGTGACCCTGGGATTGCTGGAGAAAGTTATTGAAGTATCCAGTGCGTTCACCACGCAGCAAACCAGAAGCGTTGTCGTCGCTCACCTCGTTCAAATAGTTCATACTTCCCGCTGAGTCTACCGGGAGCTCGTCTCCGCTACCGTCATCCGAATATGTCGATGCGTGGGATGACACTGTCGGGTTTGCACTTGAGAACACAATTTGATGATAACCGTTGTAATCAATTCTGTTCGCATCTGCACGAACTAACTGCTCCCTTTTCGAGTTGAATGATTCGATAACAGCTTTACGGCTCAGTTCGTCAACTAAAGCCTGCAATCGGCTCGAAACAAACGTCATTCGAGCGCGGCTGTCTTCACTCCCAACGTGCTTTTGCTGTAGCCTCTCCACTTGACATTTTAACGCTTTTAAACTGCAGCGGCAAAGACCAGTAAGGATCCATTATGCTTGAGATTCAAACTCTGGAAAAGAGCTTACCGCGCGCGAGATACGCCCTGGTCTGATGGATGAGAAACAATGCCGGACATCTTCTGATGTATCGCTTCAAATATGACGGTATCACGTAGTAGGGAGTCGAGTAGCTCTACGAAGTCACATGCAGTTTTATCCGTCACAGCCGCCGATAACCCGTTCTCAGAGATATCCCAAATATTGAGCGAGCATAGGGCTTGCCTTACTGGTGAATGTACCGCCGTACTGTTGGTTTGATAGGTGGCAGATTCGATTAGATTAACTTCAGAAGACATGGGAGCACAGCACTAACCTGTTGAGGACAGCAACACCACTAGCTTGCACCAGCTCAACGCTGTGGAGCACACGCATCACATCTACGACTGCAGCAACAACATCCTGAAAGACTGTAGTTTTAGCACTACGGTACGGGAGGTATTGGACCGGGCCGTCGTGACATCCCAGCTCGACACAGAGGAGAAACAACAAATCTAACGCTGTAACCACAAGGTCCGTCTCCTCCGCAAAACGTGATAATGCATTCGAGACTGCCTGCAGTCCACCCAGACGTCCGATACGTTCCTTACATTCCTCTTCAAGCACCATCTGATGCAGAAATTGGCATGCTCGAAGCTGCACTGCATACACACTAGCGTGTCTTTGCATTAACCCAATACACATCCGAATCATGTGGGATACCTGCAGGTTCGAACGGTTCCTGCTATCCGTAGCAAACGACTGCAGAGTTTGCAACGCAGCAGCCGCCTCAAAGGGTGATAACATTGAGGACGGCTCGGTAGATTCACCGCATCGAACGATCAAGTCTGCAATGCCATCTCGAACCAGAGCTGTGCGCTCCTGCTCTCCCCGGCTCCCGATCTTGAGTAGCACGCGATTCACACACACGAACACCGTCACGAAGCTATCGTCGCTATTGTCATTTACAGGTGGAATAACTATCCAGTAACTTGGATCACTCAGCACAGATCGAATACACGCTAGTGTTTTCGTGAAAATCCCTTCTCCGACAGTCAATTCCTGAGGTTTCAGCGACGACAACAAAACCTCCAATGCTCGCCACAACGCCTGTGCCTCCGTCACTCGCTCACTACGGTTCGGGGCATCGTCTTCATTCGCAAGTTCCCACAGCCGATCCAATAGCACGTCCATCACGTAGCTGAGAACGCAGTGGTGCTTGTCGTATCCCGACGACGCTAGTGCTTCCTTCACTTTGGGGTATTTCTGCTTGGTGTATTTTGAGCTGATCCACTTCAACTTCTATTTACCAAAACCGGGTGTCGAAAACTCGAGAATATCATGAATGTGACATGACGTTCAATAAGCTCTTCCAGCACAGTTCTGCTGTGAATGCGCGAGATATTACGCCGCATTTAGCTAGCTGCACGGAGCCCCTGCCTCATATTCAGCAGCAATGGACTCAAACACCCAGGTATCCCCGCTCGTAAAAGCCTCCTCTACAGGCGACATCGACGACAGCGAGGCCATGAGCCTCTTCGGAGGGCCACCGCCCCCGACACCTCCCCCTTTGCCGGTAAAATCTGTTTCTACAGGCGAAATCGACGACCACGAGAGCTACGATCTCTTCGGCGTCGGCCCTAGTATCCCTATAGCCACTGCAGTCACGAAGGAACCCGCTCCCATGGCCAGCACAGCTCCAGTGGAAGAAGGAGGCCCCGGAGAGGTGCCTGTACAGCCTGCAGAGCCGACATCCCCCGCCAATTATGACCTTTTTCCGGCATTTTCGCCAGCGGACAAGCCGGATAAAGTTGAGGAGTCAGATCTCTTTCCAACGTCCAGAGGACTCAGTCACGATGACAGCAGTAGCACCGCCACGGACTCGATGGGCGGAGGCGAATCATTCCGAGGAGAACTGCCACGCGCCAATAGCAACGCATTACAGGTGGCGGCAGCGGATCAACAGACCACCGAACCGTCGTACAAGATGGCTGGAAATGCTGTGGACATTGTGGCCGTGAAAAACATGGACGGGAAATACCTTACGACGTCGTGGCACGTGTCCTTCTCGTGGTCGCGCTTTCGAACGAGCTATGCTACAGGTGTGGGCGATATGGTCAGGATCTTGGTAAACGGGAGAGAAATGCCGACCAAAATGGAGTTGTTCGAGCGTGGTCGCTGTACGTTCATTACAGGCGGCTTGATCATCCCACCTGAAGACTTGTGCTTCGCTGATCTGACGGAGGATCGCCCCAATCTTGTGCGGTTTGAGCACTACCAGAAGTACACAAACACTGTTCGCTATGTGGATGCGAAGCTGCATCTATGGGGACCGAACGAATCGGTCGTAGTAGTTGACTTGGATGGCACGCTTACAATTAGTGACGTGGAGGGCCATATCCGCACCCTACGTCTTGGCCAGTACGATTTCCTGCATGCGGGAGCCTGCGACTTCTTCACCAAGTTGCACGAACTGGGGATGCGAATCGTGTACCTCACTGCACGTCCACTCGACTGGGCTTCGGCATCAAGGACGCACTTAGAGAATGCAGTGCAACAGTCGATCTCGCTGCCTCCTGGTGTTCTCATCACGAATTCTACTGGTCTCACTGGTGCGTTGTTTACTGAGGTTGTCAACAAGACTCCGCACCTTTTCAAGATCCAAGTGCTGAACGAACTACAGCTTACGCTCATTCACGCTGGTCGCGTCATTGAGCATCCTGTCTTCGTGGCTGGTTTCGGCAATCGTCCCACCGACATCGTAGCCTACGAAAAAGTGGGCATTGACCCCAGTCTTATCTTCATGCTGGACCCGTACTCGAACATTAAGGCTGTGTCCGATCCGCGCCTCTATGAATCGTACAGTGATCCGAACGCGTTGCTGTGGCTGCTGCCCAGGCTCAAACATCGCGTGCCCATAGAAAAAGTCGGCCGTATCGACGACTACACGGTACGCGAACTCGTTCTGGCTGAAGACCGTGAACAGCTACGCATGGCAGAGTTGGAAGCTCGTCGGTTGCAACAGGAGGAGTTCGAGCGTGCTCGGCAAGAAGCCGACCAAGTCCGATACGCTTCCAACAACGCTCTACGCGCCAGCAGCAGGAGCCTCTCCAGGTAAATTTCGCACCGATTTTCGTACTATATCTCTTGCGTACAGTTATGGCTAGAGGGTATCTGCCGTACATACATTTGACAAGCAATAATGACCACTTCGGTCAGACCACCAAAAATGGCGCAATCAAAATGAACATTATACGAATTTGTTTTATTGGTCTCATTTTCATAGCATGGCCGAAATGTCTGCTCGTCGATGTTTCTTGCTGAGCTTCCAGCGATACAGTACACGCTCGGCCGGGCACCAGCAGCGTCAGTTCGAGATGCTGGTGCCTGCACTGCAGACTTTCCAGCGTCTGCATGGTCACTGCGCCGTCCCGTTACGTTTTACAGTGCCGAGCACTCGAAATGCTGGCGCTGAACAATGGCCAGAAGAATTGCAGGGAATGAAACTGGGCACGACCATCTCGAGATTCCTTAAGGCCTGCGCATCCGCGAAAAAACCTTCGAGACGACATAGTTTGGATCAAGTTCGGGCGCAGCTGCGGGAGATTGGAGTGCCAGAAGTTGAGGACTGGAGGCGTTTCTTGTGGGGCGAAGTGACGGTGCCAGCAATGCAGACGTACAGGTCGATGCACGGGGATCTCCTCGTGCCAGTGTCCTTCACTGTGCCTCAACGAGACGACGCATGGCCACGCTCGACATGGGGGTACAAATTGGGCTATTGGACGAGTGAACTACGACGAAAGAAGAAAACGTTGGAAGAGTACCAACTAGAGGACCTGGAAGCGCTGGACTTCAGCTGGAATGCTCGCGAAGCTCGTTGGAATCAGTACTTTGTTCCAGCAAGACAGCGGTATCAGGAACTGTACGGCACTTCACAAGTACCGCAGGGCTTCGTGGTACCCCATAACAACCCACACTGGCCGGCGGAACTGGGAGGATATCGACTTGGGCAGAAGGTAAATAACTTGCGTTGTGGGAACGCCGAGGAGTTGCAAGATATAGAGCTGATCTACAAGAACTGGATGCTGCTAGAAACACTTCACGTTGTGGGGGAAAGCAATGATCTGGATGTAGAGATCGACGGAACGTTGGGTTTAAGCCATGAGGAATTTGAGGAATAAATTGGTTGTGCCATCAAACAAACAAAAAGCACAAAAAGCACAAAGAGGTGCTGGCTTTTGAAATGGTGGTGCATTCATTCATAAAATATCATAACAACACGTCACATGGACGCTGACGTCCTAGATTCAACAGTAGAGTAGTTAAGTCAGCTAGTCACTAATCTCCCAATCTTGACATCACCAAGCAGTCCCACCGCCCAACATTCCTACCGCTCGGATCACATCACCCAGTCAGCTCGTCCTTGGCATGCCAGGATGCTCTTTGCAGCGATGGGACCTTAGCTTCAGATACTCGAGCCGAGCTGCACAATACGCGGGTAGCACGGCAGCGTGAGGAAGTCCACCATGTCGTCGCCCGTCAACACCTTGCCCATGATCTCGCCTCCAAGTGCCCACTTGTTGCCCGGAGCAGCATCCAGAGACCGCTTGTTGACGCACTCCTTCAGAATGTCCAGTACCAGATCCTTCGTCACAGTCTTGCCCTCCACAGTCTTACAACTGTGATGGATCCACTGCCACACCTGGGCACGGGAGATTTCGGCCGTAGCCGCGTCCTCCATCTTGTTGTGGAGCGGGATGCAGCCACTGCCACGCAGCCACGCCTCTGTGTACACGAGTGACACGTCAATGTTCTCCACTAGACCATTGTATGTGATGGCACCCGTCGGAGGCTCGATGAGCTGAGCCGCAGTGATATCCTTGCCTGCCTCAGGAATGAACGAGATCTGGTTCGGACCCGACATCTTGCTGAACGCGTCCATGGCGATCTTGACGAGGCCAGGGTGTGCCACCCACGTGCCGTCGTGGCCTGCAGCCACTTCACGCGATTTATCTTCTGTGACGGCGGCCATGAACTTGTTGTTGAGCTCCGGATCGTTCTTCACGGGGATCTGAGCCGCCATGCCGCCCATGGCGTGAGCGCCACGACGGTGGCACGTGCGAACGAGCAGCTTAACGTAGGCAGCCATGAAAGGTGTGGTCATGCCGACCGATGAGCGATCGGGCACCACGAACTTGGCGTGGTTGCGGAACTTCTTAATGTACGAGAAGATGTAGTCCCATCGACCGCAGTTGAGACCCGACGAGTGGTTACGCAGCTCGTACAGGATCTCGTCCATCTGGAAGACAGCCACGATGGTTTCCACCAGCACAGTCGCGCGAATGGAACCCTGCGGGATGCTAAGGTATCCTTGAGCAGCCACAAACACGTCATTCCACAGCTTGGCTTCCAAGTGGTGCTCCAGCTTGGGCAGGTAGAAGTACGGGCCCGAGCCACGCGCCAGCAGCTCATGTGCGTTGTGAAAGAAGTAGAGACCAAAGTCGAACAGCGAGCCAGACATGATCTGGTTGTTCACGAGCACATGAGCCTCGTCCAGATGCCAGCCGCGCGGACGCACCAGTAGCGTAGCCATCTTGTCGTTGAGCGCGTACTTCTTTCCTGTCTGCGGGTGCGTGTACGAGATGGTCTTGCGAACGGCATCGATGAGGTTGACCTGGCCGTCCACCTGGTTGAACCACGTGGGAGCCGTCGAGTCCTCAAAGTCGGCCATATAACACTTGGAGCCCGAGTTGAGCGCGTTGATGACCATCTTACGGTCCACGGGACCCGTGATCTCGACGCGGCGATCGGCCAGGTCGGCAGGGATGGATGCCACCTTCCAATCGCCTTCGCGGATGTAGGCAGTTTCAGGCAGGAAGTCCGGCAGCACACCAGCATCCAGCTCCTTCTGCCGCTGCACACGCGCGGCTAGCAGTGCCTGACGACGTGGCTCAAACTGCTCGTGCAGGAAGGCGAGGAAACGCAGCGCATCGGGCGTGAGTACACGGCGGAACGCATCCGAGACGTGGCCCAACACACGGACGTTGGCGGCGTTGACGTTAAGCTCCGACATGGCGGTTTCTGTGTGTATTATGTTGGAGATTCTTTCGCTGATCGTGAAGCGCTCGCTCGGAGGCAAATTGTGGAATGACTTGTGCTGGGCGATCCTGAGCGGATGCCGACGTTTTGGACGTGCTGGTTCGCAATATGAAATCGTCTTCAACGTGCGATTTTAACCAATAGGCGAATACCGAGGATCGACGTCGCCATTGTCACGGGCTCCCCTGCTTACAAAATCCAAGTCAAAGGATGAAAGACCATCACTCTTATAATTGCGTTTAACTTCCACCGTCTTGCGAGCCACGGTAATACATCGCAGCACATGCTGCAAAGGTGATCGTGGTGATTGGACGGGCACTTTCTCTGGCCAAGAGATGCATGTGAAAACACTACGCGGTCTTGCCAGAACTCCCGCCAGAAACCTCGTCGAAGCGATTGAATTGGATACTTAAGTACATGAAATCGAATACATAAAAGTGCTTTAATTCCGGTCATGCAAATACTTACTTCCGACATGTCGAAACAGGCAATAACCAAGTGCATGGTGTTTCTGAAGCAAGAAATTCCGGTGCCGACGGCCTGAGCCTCAGCTATCAAAACCAGATCCTCGGCTCAGCCAAATCACGTGCGGCTTGGCTGTGTCGACAGTCAACAACATTTAAGCGTCGAGCACGAAGACCTCCGCAACACTTAGCAGCATCAAGCAATTTTTGGTAGCCCCACTTCGACCCGCGTGGATCCAAGCGGTGATGCCAGGCATTATTGGATTTGAGCATTCTTTGTGAAATCCCATGAGAATAAAGCATCTCGCTACAAGCAGCATCCATCCGAAAAACTAAGCGTTTGCCCTAGAGTAGAGGAACTTTTTTTAACTCCAAAATCGCTTAATCTCCAGCTTTGCCACAAGTTCATCAAAAACGCCTTGTTGGTCGTGCATGCTCTTTTCAATTGAACAGCGCAATACCCATAAGTGGGTACAAATCAGTCGATCTACTACCACTTCGAATCGGGGTTGTCCAACTAAGCGTTTGCCCTAGAGTAGTTAAGCGATTTTGGAGATTTCTCCGTACTTAATCATGAGGGTTTTTTCTGCATGTTGAAAATCGTAAACTCTTTGAAAGTTATGGATTTTGAGAAAAGGATAGTAGTAAAGGAATATGGAATTCAGTTATGGCAATTATTAACGCGGGAACGAGCCAAAAACCATTTCGTGTCTGATTACCCACAAACATATTGCCATATTCGTTTTATCATTTTAGCCGGGCTGGAAAAATCTTCAAAAGACTGACCTTCCATCAATTTGATTCAAATTTGATGCGGTTAACGGTTACCTTCGCTCAAGTTCACACACTTCTGCAATCTCGCTTGCGGATCTCCACCCAAGGAATGAGCCCAAGGAATGAGCTCATGATATTTGAAGGAATTTAAACTGACACCCCTTCATGAAACGGCTTCAAATGCAGAAAATGGCACTTGTT